TTGGATGTTTTTCCCACCATCTTCTTCCACATCACATTCCTATGAATGTCATGGTCAACTATGCTATAAGAACATGAGAAAAGCCCTGCTAGATCAGTCCAAGACCCATTGTAATCTACTATCTCTCATGTTGGCCTATTTGATGTCCTTGCAAGTAGGAGATCCAGATGTAGCCCTGTCCTTCTGAAATTCTGTGAAGTCAGGATTTGAAGGCCAGTTAACCTCCAGTCCAAGTAACATTGAATCTCAAGAGCAGGGATATCATACTCATGGCCACGGGCTGGATGCGCCACATGCTGGCCACGCCCAGTTTAGCAAAGGGGAGAAAAGTCATGATACGTCACATGACGATGCCATGACAACATGAGTTTGACACCCCTGCTCAAGAGAAATCACCTTTAATTAAGTTGGTCTTCTCTATGTGCATCCAATCTGCCTTTAAACTCTTCCAACTTAGAGGCTACCATCATCATTTGTAGCCATGAATTCCAAAATCAATTAGGTTTTATATGCCCCCCCCCATTCTGTATTTCCTAACAAGACTTTGAATTTTTATATTTTGAGCTTCACTGAATTTATTTTATGCCCTCCAACATATGTGGTTTATTGCAATGGAATCTAAAACATAATTAAAGGTTTTTTAAGAAAATCTGGTTTGATTTAGCAGGTATCTTAGGTTAAATCGACTGAACTACGAATGAAGAGGCAATAGGTGGATTAAAACACTTTTAGAAAGCAGATAATCCTTTATAGAAGTAGATAACTACTCCAGTAGACTCAGCTGGCAGTTCTGCAGCAATATCTATGACTCCTTGCAAAACAGGCACAGGAGGAAAATTATAAGCAGATGACTCAGGCTTCCAATATGAATGTTGCTAAGCTTCACACACAATCCACAAAGAGAAGCTTAACAATGTGGCTACTGCTGTGTTGGCATCCATTTGGGAACCAACTGGAACCAACATGCTCAAAAAGGCTTAGAGGGGTTCAGATTTAGTTAGTGAACCCAAATTCTTATTATACCCATTAAAGGTAAAGGTAAAGGTTCCCCGTGCACATATGTCCTAGTCATTCCTGACTCTAGGAGGCGGTGCTCATCTCCGTTTCAAAGCCGAAGAGCCAGCACTGTCCAAAGACGTCTCTGTGTTCATGTGGCCGGCATGACTAAATGGCAGAGGCTCACGGAACGCTGTTACCTTCCCACCAAAGGTGGTCCCTATTTTTCTACTTGCATTTTTTACGTGCTTTCGAACTATTAGGTTGGCAGAAGCTGGGACAAGTAACGGGAGCTCACCCCGTTACGCAGCACTAGGATTCCAACCGCTATACTGCCGACCATAACAGACCCATTAACCATAAAGTTCAGTTCATGGCCCTGCCAGTCAAGGTTGGCTACTTCAGCTAGCCCAACCATTTTCTTTTTTAAAAGCTTCATAACTTATCAAAATTATATAAAAGACCATTAGCTTTACAAATGCATAATAAGGCAAGTGATATTTATTATACCACTAATAGACATCAACATCTGGGATTTTGAGACCTTTTTTTTCATTACCTAGGTACTTCTTTTTACTCTTTGTATACCAAGTTTTTATTTTTTGTAAACCACTGAATGTATGTGGGAGGCCAAAACCATAATTAAAATAGATATGAGTGTATAGGACGGTAGTAGTGATGCTGGGTTTGATGAGTTAAGGAGCATTGAATGCAAAATGCAATGAAGAAGGCTAGTGAATAGTATACATTCTTCCCTGGTGACACCCTTCACCCTGATTGCTGAGCTGGAGATAACAGTAGAGATCCCTGATTTTTATAAAACTGCTTTCTAAATTCCCAAGACATTTGGTGCAAAGAGTATGTCTGTTTTATCGCATCTTGATAACAGCCCAGGGCTCTTCCCTTCTGCTCTTGGCTTCTTTTCCATCTTGATTTTGTCCTCTTAACTGGAAGTGACAGTCTCCTCTGGTGGCCCTCTCTGTGCACACACTCCTGTACAAATCTAGGAAATGGTGGAAGCTGTCAGGCCCCACTGAACCCAACCAGGGGAATTCGAGTGCTGAGAGAGAAGCAGGCCCACCCATCATCTGGAATCTGATTGGCTGTTCCGCTCTTTTCCAAGGTCACAGGAAAAATAAGTACAACTTGATGCCTTGTTATTTTGCAATCTGGCACCTATGTACCAATGAAAAAGTGAATGCATATGTGCGCATATATACTCCTACTTATGTGTTTGTGTTGAGTATGAAAAAAATGAATAGATTGGCACGCTGAGTTGCTACTAGAGTCAACTTCTCTCTAATTGTAAACTTGGAGACAGACTATGTGCAAATACACCTTGAATTAAAATGGTTGAAGCATTTCCTAAAGAATTCTATGATGTCTAGTTTTCCGCTCTTGCCTATATAGTTCTCATATAGCTCTCATTATATAGCTCTCATTTTTTAGGGATCACTATGGATGAAGAGACGGTCTCTTCAGCTTAAGAAGGACATGAAGCTCTACCCAGCTCAAAAATATACTTCTTATTCTGAGAATTGGTGTTGCATCAGGGCCCAATCTCACTATAGTTTTGGAGCATATCTAGAAAAATCTATTATTAAATAAGGGAAACAGATAATTTCTGCTTTTTCTTTCTCAGTTCAACATCACCTGGGGGCGGGGGGCTCAGATGTTTCCCTTTTTCTTTTACTTTTTTTTTACCCAATCATTGAGGGACCTTTGTGCATTTATTTGCTTGCTCTAATTAGCCATAGATTTTAAACAGGAAAGAAGACACTTCTTCAGGCTTGGAAATACCTAAGACAGTGATGGAAAACCTTTTTGCTTGATGTGCCAACAATTCAGAAAATGCCTAACTTGACTCTCCTGGTATGTCTCACACACCCCACCAAACAAAAGAGAAACAATTCTTTACGTATTTATTTTTAAAAGTACAGTCCAATCGTGGGTGATCCCCAGGATCTGCTATGTGCTACTTACCTTCAGGCAGTGTCCTATTTTTGTTGAAAGGCCACTGAGACCTACCCAAGGTTCCTCTGGGTTGCACAAGGACTTCGTTCTTGAAGCAGCTACGTAGAATGCTCTTTTGTGGCCTCTGCAGCCTCCAAACACCCTATGAAAGCAAAGTCTGTTCTTGCATGATTTTTGGGTGCTCCAGTGCTCTTTGTGGAGCCCTCTTGTATGAGTTCCAGAGGGTCTGGATGCCATTCGAGAATATACCCCATTCTTACAAGACCTCCAGAGCCTCCAAAAATCATTCAAAAAAGGGCATGCTTTCAAAAATAGTTACTGGTGCTAGTGAATCAGGTGTGTCACCTAAAACATTGTGACATATCATCTTTGATGCGTGTGCCATAGGTTCACCATCACTGATCTAGGGGATGGAAGAGATGCTTCATAATAAAGTCCCAGTTCTTCACAGGATGATGGAAGTTGATTGATACATGAGGGGGCTGTTGCTCCATTCCAGAATGTCAGAGAAGAATCTTTCCCTGCAGTTATTAAACCTTATCCATCTTCAGCATGGACTCTTCACTTCACCCAACCCTAATTATGGCCCTTCCCTTCATAACTATCTTGCCCCTGTGTAATGTGAAATAACCAGAATAACCAAAAACAAGAAAGGGAATTTTAAAAAATCATTGTAATTGTGAATTGCAGCCTAAGTACAAAATTGTAGAAAGCCTCAGTTTTCAGGCTGGTGAAAAGCTTTCATTCTTTTTGAAGTGATTCATCATGCCCATAGAATTTTAAAGTATTTTTTTTTTCAGGTTGCATAAATAAGCTTCTAGTGATGATAGTTTAGAGTCAAGCAAATCTAACCAATATAATAATTTTAGTGGGCATTAAGTATTATTGAATGACCAGCTTGCTAGCTGGCTCCAGCTCTGAGAGGCTTGGACCCAAACAACTGGAGGGGGACAGGTTGGAGAAGGCTTAATCAGATTATTATCGCCTGCTTACCATTCTTCCATGGAATTCCAAAAATAACACACGGGCTGCCTGGGTTCTTTTTGTGCAAGAGCTGATAAGATTGTGACCAGCTTTCTTTAACAAAGTGGTCCATATCATGAGTTCTGGACTCCAGCCTGATTCTAATGCACTGCCTTTCCCATTAGTAGTATGTGAATACTTTGTCAGTATAGACCAGGGGTGGGGAACTATGGCCCCTTTGAAACTTGTGGACTTCAACTCCCAGAATTCCTGAGCCAGCATGGCTAGACTATTAGAATTTATGTCTCTTTTGAGACATGGCTGGCTCAAGAGTTCTGGGAGTTGAAGTCCAGAGGTCATAAAGAGGCCATAATTCCCCACCCCTGATAGGGAAATGCTTCTTGAGTTTATGCCCATAAGCACCTGAGTGTTCACAATGCTTCCGTGATACAGTGCTACTGTGATCAAAAAAAAAAAAAAAAAAAGATTGTTATTCTTGAGGAAAAAATGCAAGTCACCCTAAGTTCCTGAAGCATGTGAGTACAATATATGTGTGTGTTTGAAGTGGGAATATATATACATTTAAGTGGGAAAGGCTGCTCAAAACAACCCATAGTAGAAAAGGTGAAATTAAGAATCTAAGAGTAAAGGTGGATGTGTGTATTATATAATAACAGCAGATGGGAAGCAGAACAATTTGAGGAAAAAATAATGTATATGTCAGCCAACAAAGGTGTGAAAATAAGTGTGTGCAGATACAGAGCTAAATGTTTACCCTTAGAATCCTCTTGTTTTGAAAAAATGATGATAGGTTCAAAAAAGACATAAATTCTAATAGATATTGCAGCTGCCCAGTTCCCTTGTCCACAAGAACATCTGGGGGAAAATGTAGACAAATTCAGAGTTTCTTTAAGCAATAATTATTTATTACAGCATCCTTTCCTAAGTTCCAGATAAAATTCTATCCGTAATTTCAGTTGATGTTCTACATGATTTGGATTGGTTTGCAGGGAGGTTTTGTTGCTAATAGCTAAGCAATAGTTTTATGTTTAATGTTTCTGTTTCAGGAGGAAGATCAAGAATCGGAAAATGGGAAACTAGTAATAAAGGAACCTGAGACTGAAGATGGTAAGTTTTGGGTTTTGTAATATCTGGAATGTTATCAGACATGGGAGATCCCAATTAACACAAATAAAGTCACTTTAAGCCCTAATATTTAATATTATTAAATGAAAATTGAAAGAAAAAAAGAGTTATTTTTTGTCATTCATTCATCTATCCATTCATTTAAAAAATGCACGATAGGAAAAAAAAAACCACTAGAAAAACAGTCTTAATACTTAGACCTGAATTGTGTAATATGAATTTAAGAGCAGATACATTCTCAATCTTAAGATCAATGCAACACTATAGACTTTTTTCTGGAAGGAAGTGTTCTTCCTCCAGTCCTTGATCTGGTGGAAGAGTATGCTGGCATAAACTGCACAGTCCTTGATGCTGAGTCCGACCCTGCTTCAATGACAAGACCAGTGAGTGATGCTCCCCTTACACTTTTAACGTGGAACAAGTAAAGGAAAGTAATAGCTTCACTTATCCTTCAACTAATTGTTAGAGCTGAGATATGGGAGAAGGCAAGTTTTGACAGAGGACTAAAGTAGTAAATTTGACCAACTGATGCCAATGGCTGTTAGAGCTAGGAGTTGTAGATTTGTCATCCCGTACACATGGAGGAAGGCTGCACTACCCAAACACACTTTCTCTGCAGAGTTCAGAAGGCTGCATCTGGAGGCTGCTAATTTTTATCATCATCCCCAGCCTTGGATGTAAGACTGAGAGATAGTGTTCAAGGCTATCTCTAGGGCTGACTCAAGATATTTTGCCAACTGAAATACATTGAGTTGTGTTTCCTACAAACAGCAAATAATTGTGGTTTGGTTTGGGCCAGAAAGCCCAGTTTAGGAAATTTGTACAAGGGCTTTCTGACCCAAACCATATGTTTGCTGACTCCAACAGGACACATCCAAACAATACAAACAATCCTGGTGACTTCATTAAAAGTATTGTGGTTAGCAAGACAGTATAGATAAACTTACCCTGAGGACTTAACTCTTTGCAGAACTATACATTCTGTTAATAAGCTTTATGCCATGAACCAAAAATCCTCAGTGCAAGCCAATCATTTGAAACAGATTTCTAAGTCCTAGCCAAAAAGATTGATAAATTATTATATTGTAAATTATTATATTGTAAATGTGGAGGGTTTTTTCCCCCAGAAAGGGGTGGAAGAATGCTGATAGGAACCGTGCTTCCTTGTCCCACTTTCCTGCAGTATTTTAAGGCTATAAACATATTGGCTCAGGCAGATTACAGTTCTAATACTTCTAAACAGTCTCATCCACATCCCATCATGTCTATTCTGTTTTATAAAGAAGGAGGAACACAGTCTATTCTGCAGTTCACATAGCAAGACCATCTTATACAGAAGAAAAAAATGCCATATTGCTCACTGACCATCTTCATTTATCTTAATTCTTATTCTGATACACAGGAGCAAAGTAATTTCTTATTTCCAAGCCAGGAAAGTGTTCATATGTAGCAAGGAAAAGAAAAAAGAAAAAGTGCAAGATCATTTTTTCTAAATAAGATATAAGAAGCCATATGGCATTTGGAAGAAATCAGTTGCTTATCATGTGGCCCAGAATTGTTTCCATTGGCTAATTCCAGGGTTTTCCGCAAAGGCATTTCTATTGTCTGGTATGAGATTCAGCCTTTCTAATAACTTGGCAAATATAACAGGATATTCAGCCATGCATGCAAAATATTTGCTCTACTACTGAGCCACATTCTTTTCCCAAGAAAAACCACACTTACTGAATTACACCTTCTCAACCTTTAATTTAGAAAAAAAAGGACTCAGTAGTTCAGCAGATTCCTGGTAGATTCTAGAACTGGGGAGGCTGATTGATCTAGAGATCCCTGTCCTGAAGATGTGAGAATTTCAATTTCCCAAAATTTCCACTTCTGTGGAGTCCCTGGTATTCTTTGAGCCTGATTATGTGCTTGCAGATGTTTCATTACCTGACTAGGTAACAACATCAATGCAAGTGAGTGTGCTTTGACCCCTGTTTATATGCAGTAGCTTGCCCTGCCAGTGTTGCTGGGATATGATTTTCTCTTTGGCAGTTCGTTGATCAGGGTATTGTTTCTACTTGATTGTTTATTTGATGTTAATCCCTGTTTACAGGGAACTCCACAAAAAGGTAACAGACCACCTATACAACATCTTCAAACAAAATTGATAGTCATGCAACTTTCAAAAATGCCTGATCACTCAGCCCACTACAGTGCAATCAACGCAAGCTATGAAAAAGTTAACATAAAACAAAAACATCTCAGAAACAACCAGCAGACTGTTACAAACACATGGCATCACCACAGCACACAAACTAACTTAAAGTCCTCTAAAACATCTTAAGTAAACCAGAAGATCCAGTAGTCCAAGAAGAAAAAAAGAGAGTGATTTATAACATACAGGTAAAGACTGTAATAGCCTCTAAGTAGAACAGATAAGCAGGAGACTAGCAGAAGGCATCCATGGACATCAACTAAAATTCAGAAGACATGACGAAAAACTCTTTAATCTCACAACACTGAACAAACTCAACCATGCTTTCAATTGGGAACTGACATCTTAGATCAAGCTAAATCCAGTACTGTTAGGAAATTCCTGGAAGCTTGCCATACAAACAAATCAGCCAACAATAGAAATATAGAGATAAACCACATACACACAGCAGTCAAAAGAATCCGTGAAAAAAGCTAAGCAGAAAACAAACACATTCTCTTTAGCAGTCAACACCAGATACTGTAAGCAGGGATTAACACCAGACAAACAATCAAACAATATTCTAATCAAGGAAAATTATCAAGGAGAAAACCACATCCCCACCTACACTGGCAAGGAAAGCTACTGTACATAAACAGGGAACAAACTCCACATCCACTCCCATTGATGAAGTTACCTAGCTGGGTAAGGAAATGTCTGCAAGCAAACAATCAAGCTCAGAGAACCCCAAGGATTCCCAAGTTCAACCCTAACCTGCAAATATTTTTTTCTGTTATGACTTCTATATAGAGTTTAGAAGATGTGATTCCAAAGACTATATTTGGAACGGATTATTTGAGGTGCTATGAATTGCTAAATGAAAAAAGAAAGAACATCTAATTTCGATTATCAGAGCTCAGCATCAGATAATGTTTGCACACCAAGGGATAAATGAGGTGATACTGATGGTGTGAGCTAGCAGAGGGAACAGGTGTTCAGGGGCTTTGTTTTCTGGACATCATTGGACTCTACCCTTATAGCTGTATCAGCTGATGTATTCCTCAAGTGAGATTACATAATTCAGATACATTCACAGGAGGACTGGTAGACAAGGAAAGTGAAGTCTTAGCTGTCACATGGATTTTAAAAGATGAGATAGCAAATGTTGCACTTCCTTAATCCATTTTATTATGTCTACTTCTGTAGGGGCCACAATTGTAAGCAACTGTTTTAAATGAATTTGTCCCTATTATTTCTGTCTTTAAAGTATGTGACCTGATTCCTTTGTTTTAATTTTTGTTAATTTTTAAAATGGGAATATTTTTATTTTGGTTGATTCTGAACATGACCTGGAATCCAGCTTCAACCAAAGAAAATCCATAAAAGATTTTTTTTTAAAAGAAAATGGCAGCTATAGCTACATGCCTAATTGTATTTAGGCTATAGAACAGTCTGTGTCAGTGCTGCTGATTTAATTGGGCTTACTTCTGAGTAAATAGGCATAGTAGCATAAGGTACAATGTGTAAGAAGTCTTTCAATTAAAGTTCTCTGTTGAAAATATGGCTGCAAGGAAATGATCTTTGAAAGAAATGACATGTCTTCTTGCAGGCTTTTAATGAATGGAGAGTAGCTATGTCTTTAAAAATGTCTCTTTCCAGATGCTTTGTTTAAAGTAGGTCATTTCACTCCCATTACACATCTAACAAGTCCAGAATTTGAAAAGGGGTACTGAAATTTAGATGAAGGCAAGACTGAATGCATGAGGATATTTCCCTTTCCTTCGCCAGCTCCGAAGACCACATCAACTAAAGTTAGCAAACTGTATGCCCTTGAAGGATAATTTCAGCTTTGCACAAAATGGTAGAAGCGGGGTTGTGATGTTAATAGAGGGGAGCTTTTGTATTGTATTAAAAGAGAAAGAGAATCATGGAGTTAAATTAAGAACAGGCAATGCAAGAGGCCTATAACCTATTCAATATATTTAAAAGGGTCTGGAGCAATTTAAGTTGTTTCCATGTTGACTGATTTAACTACAAGTGGACTGCTTTTTAATTTGGTGTTAAAATTAGTTGCTGGGTGACAGATGGAAAATAATCAGCACTTGATACAGCTATTGCCCTCATTCATCTAAGTCCTAGAGACATGATTCTTCCCCAGCCCAAATCAGATACAGTTGAATTCTATCTAACGTTTTAGTATCCATATCATTTGCATCAGCCTTCCTCAACTGATTCTCTCAAGATGTATTAGACTGCAGCTCCCAGAATTTAAAATCAAAATGCCTCCATTTCTAGTAATTGTACTATGTATGGACTGCAAAGGTTTAGATAACCAAACTATGACATCAAAGAAATAGATGGTAGAGGACAGAAGGGCCTGGAGGAACGTTGTTCATGGGGTCACGATGGGTTGGACATGACTTAATGACTAACAACAACTGTATCTGAAGCCACTGAGTGGTCATTTAGATTTTTGCAACCTAGTTATGATAGGCCTATTTCACAACCCATAACAAACCATAATATCCTTTGTTGTCTTTTGCTTTTATCACATTGTATAAATCCAGTCATCGTATTTTGCATATTCTGGCTTAGCACATCGTAAGAACTCAATAGTGGCTTATTCAGATAACATATTACTCAGATAAGTATGCCATCTTCAGAGTTCATTCTGCCAGGAAATACAATTTAGATTTCAGAATATAATTTCCATTTTTAAGGCTTATATAAATCTAGAACTTTCATTTCATGTGCAGTTAATGGGACTCCAAAGCTTCTTTTCCTCTTTTTACAAATCGTCTTTGAATTCCATCAAACATGATTTTCTCAAACCTCTTCAGACCTTTTGTTTCATATCTTTGTTTTACAGTTCAGTCCTCGTTCATTTTGCAGGATCCAATCTGGGTCAGTTGGGTTGAACATTATCCTGGGACACATATATTCGCCCTTATTCATTTTCTCTATGACTAAATCACCTCAGCCATCTTCTTTCACAGTAGTCCTTCAGTTCTAAAGGCCACAAAAAAATTGCTGGTTGTCCTGTGCTATGTCCTAAACTCAAATTAACAATCACTTTGTTCACATAATATTTGTATGTACTCCCCCATTTGAATGGGCTATAATGCTGTAATAAAGTTTGTTTTTAAGGACAGGTGTACATTATGTTTCAGCTCTGTTCTAAGCTTGGATCAAATTGTTGCTGTCTCACTAGATGTGTTCTGACTAACCATTATTTTAAAAGTTATTTTAAGATTGGAACTCTTCCAGTGAAGTTAGAACAGCCTGTTTTGTACAGTGAAGCAGCTCAAACTCAGAATGTTTTACACGCCCCTATTTTTAAGACACTACAAATATATTGTTGCTATTTCTGCAGCATTCTTAAACAAAGCTACCATTTAGAAATTCAAACAAAGTAGAACAGTGATATTAAAATAATGATTGTGGAAGCCATTTACAGATGATAAAAATCTAAGTCAGTTCAGTACTGAGGCCTGTGTGAATCAATGGGAATTACTCACATTGTATTATTTACAGCCTAACACTCTACTATAAAGAAGCATATTAAGGGACTTTCACTTGATGCCTAAAATGAGTCAAACTGTACAAAATCTTGCTTAGGAGAATCAGAAATTTTGTAAATGGTCAGTAATAAAAAGTAAATCCCTAAGTATATTCTGAGAATCTGGGGTGAAATGGTACAGCCTTGCAGATGACTGGACTTGTTTATTAATTACAATATAGAACATAGAGTAATAGAGTTGGAAGGGACCTTGGAGGTCTTCTAGTCCAACCCTCTGCTTGAGCAGGAGACCCTATAGCATTTCAGACAAATTATTGTCCAGTTTCTTTTTTAAAGCCTCCAGTGATGGAGCACCCACAACCTCTGAATGCAAGTTGTTCCATTGCTTGATTGCTCTTGCCATTAGGAAATTTCTCCATAGTTCTAGGTTGCTTCCCTTCTTGGGTAGTTTCTATCCATTGTTTTTTGTCTTTTTGGTGCTTTGGAAAATAGTTTGACCCCCCCTCATTTGTAGGAGCTCCACAAATACTGGAACACTGCTATCATGTCTCCTCTAGTCCTTCTTTTCATTAGACTTGACATACCCAACTCCTGTAACTGTTCTTTGTATGTTTTAGCCTCCAGCCCCCTAATCATTGTTATTGTTCTTCTTTGCACTCTTTCCAGAATCATAACAACTTTTTTTTATATTATGGTGGCCAGAACTGGATTAAGTGCCATCAAATTGCTTTCAACTCTTAGCTACCACATAGACAGGTCTTCTCCAAAAAAAATGTCTATCCCATTCATCACTACATCCATCTGCTATAATTGAATCATCTTTTTCCTTTCTTTCCTTCTACCTTTCCCAGCATTAGAGCTTTTCTTCAGAGATTATAAACTTCTCAAGAGGCTATGCCTAATAGGATAACCATAATGTCCACTCTGTACATTTTGTATATATGCATATGGGACCCACAGTACAACAAAACATAGGAATGGAGTTTGTTCTTGTTCACACTTGATCAGCCATGCCCCTTCCATGTCTTCTCTCACCCATTTCCCTCCCAACAATTAATTTTTTGTGGCATTTGAACATGCCCAATGTTCAATGTTTTAAATATTTTTTTAAAATGGTATATTTCATTGGGCTTACCCCCAAGTCTGCTGATATTACCATCTGTGTAGAAGGTGCCATTTTGGCTGTGTAAACCTTGATGCTTATAACCTTAACATAAAATTGAATTTGGATGGTAAAAATTGGCTTTTTCCTTTCAGCTCCCAGGGTCACTACAATTTCCAGATATTGTGGCAAGATAACCTTGCTAAGTGCTAAGCAAATACTGTACAAAGTGCTTCCTTCCCATCTGCGCCCTAGTGATCCCAAGGGCAAAAGTGCTTGGACCTTTAATGAAAATTACATGTCATTTCTGGCTAAAGTTTATTACAGATTAGGAGCAAAATCCTATTTGATGGCTCTGTTCAAATGAGTTGCAAATTGCATTGTGCTGCTAATGTTATGGCATATTTGTGTACTCAGATTAGCTGCATTATTCAGACTCTAATGGTTAAAACATCACTGAACCTCTTCGACCATGGTATCAATACTGTAGTTGCAAATAGAAGTTTTAAGAACAACATTCTCCACCACCGTCTTTCCACTAAAAAAGACACAGCTACATCTCCTTGGTTTGGGGCTTTAAATCAAGGCCCAGAGGAGCAGCAAATAAATCTAATAAATAATAATAACTGAATCCAATCTTACTCTGAAGTGGTGATTTAGAATATGAAAAAGAGGTAAAACCTCTGGCTGGATATTGGTTTATTATAACATTTAAATGAGAGCAGATTTGCAGTTCAGGGGAATCAGGAAGCATAATTTGTTACTATTACATGAAGAAAAGGGGCAAATCCCAATCTACAGCATAAAAATTCTGTTCTTATCAGATGATGGAAAAGAAAATGGATTATTTCCATCCATTTGTGACCAGCTTGTAGCATTAACAGTGGTCCATATTAACAGAGAAATTGGATTCACACATTGTACTACATGCTATAGTTTATGTAATCATAATTTATACAATGATTCGGGACATTCTGATTCTGTTTTTAATAAAAAATAACTTCCATTATTGGAAGCCTTTCTACAACTCCAGTTCTTTCTCTTGTCCAACTAGCTAGATCCCCAAATCTGGTTCAGCATTGAACTGAATAGGTTAAAATTCCTCCTTATAAATCAAACACACCTAAATAACAAAGTAAATTGGCAGGATCCAGCAATTATTTTCAGTCACCAGATTCTGCCATATATATAAACATAACTGGGAAGGAGGAAAAGAACAAGGGGATTGACCAGAATGTGATTTTAAAAATAACGTTTCAGTATGTTAATAACTTCACCACACAAAAAGCCTTTTTCTTCTTTCTCTCATTGTCTTGTAGCAGATGAAAAGTTATCTTTTAAATATAGTCCTGGCAAACTGAGAGGAAACCAGTATAAAACAATGATGACCAAAGAAGAACTTGAAGAGGAACAAAGGTAAGTTGGATTTTCTTTAAATTCAGCAGAATAACTAGAGATTCTGATCCCTCTCGTTTCCTCTAAGTTGCCATGTCCCATCAAATATAGCTGGTCTTAGGTATATTTAGCTTTCCCAGTTGAACCAGTATAGTCGTCAAAGATTAATTCTTGGGTGATGACTCAGTCATGAAGAACCTTGCCCACTTCCTTGGAAATGGATCTGTTGGCTGCTTCTCATTTCACAGAGCATTTGTCAAAGTAGCAAGATTTACAGTGGATGTTCTGGTGCCAAAACCACCAAGTAAACTCAGTTTAAACAAGACTCCACATAAATCTTGTGGTTCCATACCTTGGCCCTTATGATTACCAAGCACATTAAAGTGATGACAGAACAAGTCTTCATATCCCCCATAAAAAAATTCTTCCAATTCTAACATTTTGCAAAAACTGTTTTTATTCGTCATAAATGCCAAAAAATATCAGGGTCAAATATTTCAGTTCAGCATTAAGAAAATTGTAGTGGTTTCCTGACCCCCAGACATTTGGCTATTCAGAAATAATTTCAATAAATTACTTGGTATCTCAGAAATTGTTTAGGAATAGTATGGTAGAACAATTGCAGCACAGATACAGCTGGTAATAAGTATATACTGATAGAATGTGCTTAGAACATTGTTTTCCTGGTTTAAAAAAATAGATCATTCCCTTTTGCTAAAGATCTTGCAATTCTGGCTTATATTGTTACAAATTTTTTGCTAAAATTTGCTTACAAATTTTGCTCCATTATGTTTACTGTGAACCTAAGAAAAAAGTATTTCTAAATAGAGTTCCAAAGCTGAGCCATTAATGATCTGACTAGATGTTGCAAATTTAATAAACTCCGTAAAGTCCGACCTTTACTTTAAAAATACATTCTTCACAACAATTCCATTGTTGCATTATTAGTATTTATTCAGCAATAAATTTTTTAAACTATTAGGATACACAAAAGTAAAAACATTGTTCTTTCATCTATCAGAGTTCAGCTGAAAATGCTACTAAATCTACAAAAATTGTATGTTTTTGAATAGAATATTCTGATAAGGGGGAAAAGCTGGAAGAATATATAAACTCATAATTATAATAGGTAATCAAACCTAATGTGACCATCGCAAACAAAATTCCCATAGAACATTTAAGGACATACATTTTTAACCAGACCATTTGGTTGAGGCTTAGATGAGCCACTAAATTGAAGTTCATTTGGTTGCTTTCAGTACAAATAATTTGGTTTCTTTGTGTGGATTCTTTCTTTTGATCAGAAAGCTGCACATTTTTTGAGTAGCAGCATGGAAGGGAAAGGAGCATGGTAAAAAAATTAGGTGCATGAAATACAAAACTGAATTTGGTTTGGTTGAAAGTTAATTGAAATTAAGTACAGTTTATTAAACAGAACCATTGTATGATTATTTCTATGTATTTAATTTTATATACTAAATTAAAAATTACCATATTTGTCAAATTTGGGGAGGAATTGGGGTCTTAGTATTATTTGGGGATGGATTATTTGTAAATCTGGGGCATGAGTTGTGCATACCTCTGTTAGGAAGGATCAAATCCGATGAGTTTTTCTTTCTGCTGAACAGTTGTGTAGAATTTCAGGCAATGCAGCTTTTCTCAACCCTTCAGTATAGCAGCATGAGAAGTTGCCTATTTCAATGTTCCTCCTGTTTAACTAGGAATGTCAAGTTGTCAATGCATGTATGCCTCCTGTTACCCAGTTCTTGATCTAAAATGTACACCAACAAACAAAATTAATTCTTAACTAGCAGTTAGTCATTTCTACTGTGGATTTTTTGGTGAGGCTAAGCAATTATGTAACCACGTAGAGAAGACAAGGGATTCTGTGAGTGACTTCAACAGGTTTTAAATGTGTATATAGGTGGCATAGTGCCCTAGCAATTAAGATGTTGGGCTTGTTGATCAGAAGGTTGGCAGTTTGAAACCATCCAAGTAGTACATAATGAAGTGAGCTCCTGTTCTTGCTCCAGCTCCTGCCAACCTAGCAATTCGAAAGCATGAAAATGCAAGTAGATATATCCTACCACTTTGATGGAAAGGTAGCAGTGTTCCATGCACTTTGGCCTATAGCCATGCTGGCCACATGACTATGGAACCATCTTCGGATAATGCTGTTTCTCTCGGCTAGGAAATAGAGATGGGCACTGGTCCCCTAGAGTTGGGCACAACTAGGTAGTGAAAACTTCTTTCTTTAAATGTGTATATATTCAGTTTAAATATACAGAAGATCCTTTTATCGGTCCTAATTTGGAGAAGGGTATACTACTAAAACAAATGATATACCAACCATATATATCATTGGAAGAAAAACAGTCTTTCCTAAAGTATCGGGTATAATACATTTATCTGCTGAATTATATGTCAGGAAGAGATCTGGAGCCCCCTTGTCTGCTCCATTGAATGTCTTACAAATGGTCTCTTTGATTAAAGAGATACGCATTCCCTGTTCTGTTGAAATGCCTTCAAATATTGTTAGTGCAATGTTTCTTTGGGAGAGAGTTTTACAATAATTTAACAATACAGCAAAGATACAAATCCACAATTTTAACATATTTGCTGAGATTCATCTCTGTACAATCAAAGCTCATTTTGGTATACATTTTATTTAAGGCTATTGTGTATCATCATCAATACTGTGAGCCATCTCAGACTATAAGTATTATTTATCTCCCATTCTTCCAAAATTATTAGCTAGTTTTTAACTGAGGCATCACTGGCAGGCAAAGGAGGCTCTAGATCAGGGGTCTCCAACCTTGGCAATTTTAAGATCTGTGGACTTCAACTCCCAGAATTCTTCAGCCAGCAAAGTTGGCTGAGGAATTCTGGGAATTGAAGTCCACAGATCTTAAAGTTGCCAAGGTTGGAGACCCCTGATCTAGATAATTATCCCATTATGTGTTCATTTTTGCTTTCTGAATGGCATGACTCATATTTATTTCCTCAATTTCCTCTGCCTATTGATGTATCCAGTTTGACTAGTTATGACTAGATACTGTCTTCCTGGGCCTTAGATTATTTATTTGATTCTATTGGGCACTATGAGAAAAGTGGCATCAATAGGCCTTTAGAGGCTATAGCTATAAACCCAGGTAATGCTGTGGCTCTATAGCAGTCAGTCATGCACAGCATGCTTCCGTGTGCCAGAACTTGCCATACCAGTTGTGTACCATAGGCAGCTGACCAAATACGATTATTAATAGAATTACATACTTCATCTCATTATACAACCAGCAGATGAACTTTGAGCCCTTTGGAACTAAATGCAAAGCTGCATCAGTTCCAGACACTGTGTTAAGCAGGCCTGCTTTGACAATTGTACAGATCAGCCTTCTCTGATGTGGTGTCCTCCAAATATATTCCACCTGCCATCTTGGTTGGAAATGTTAAGGGTTTGCGTCCCACACATCTGAAGAATTACACACTGAAGAAATCAAATGTAAATGTTAATTTATCAGGCACATTCTCAGGAATCCTATGTCACTCGGAATAGGTTGCATTTGGAGCAGCTTTGTAGAATAAAATAAACGAATACAGAGGGACAAATGCAACCATAACAAAGCCTCTTGAAAAAAAGCACCTTTGGGATAATAATGAAAAGGGATTCCCTGACCTTTGTTACACAAGTGTTTAAAGATAACCAAAACTGAACTTTTACCTGACACAAACCTGAGTAACTCCCTAGGACAGCTCTTTTCTAAGGAAAGAAAGGGTTTGTTAACAACCTTTTCCACCTGCACCATGATTGACTATCGGTTTCCTGTGTCCTGTATCTACTTTCCAAATTTACCTGCCCTACTTAATGCTTGCTGCCTTGGCCTGTGCAGAGCTGTTTGCAAACTCCCTCCCCCCCTCACCTCTTCTGCTAATGGGTGTCTGGCAGACTGTTGCATTTCTTCTAACGGTTTCTCTGTTTCTTGTCACAGTGACCTTGTCTGTCTGTCTGTGTTTGTTTCTCCCAGTTTTTTTTTCTTTTGTTTTTCCCCCTTCCCTCGGAGCGCTGGTGGTGGCATCAGCATTTTTCCATTTCAGGCTATTCCAAACCCTCCTCCTTTGTTGTGGTTTCTTTGGGCAGGCTTGCCCTCAGGTAAGGAGCTACACTGAATCAGCTGAGGAAAGCCATGCCATCCGCCCTTTCGAGCCTTTGGTTCTTCATGCCATGTGCCTGTGTGTGCATCCTGACCCTTCCTGGCCTTCTTCTTCCCCCCCTCTCCTGTTGGCATTGCCTGGCATTGCTGCCATTTTGATGTGACCCAGGTTTGCTGCGTTTATTATATTGCAGGATTGAGCTGACCTCTGACCTCACATCCCTGTAGCAAGTACCTTAGGTCCTCGGCCACAAACATTCTAGCAAATCTTTTTGGTAAGGAGATGATACTTCTTAGAAGTAGTGGTTCCACCTATAACTTCTGCTAATGTGACTGAAAACTAAAGTTGACCATGTTTTTTCCCTCCCCCTGCACCTCCTCCCCTTCTCCCTATTCATAACTAATAAATTAGACTCCCTCTCTTCTGTGCCCCGTTTCATTTATCAGGAGCATCACAGTTCAGCCGAACAAAAGAGGTGCACTTTTGCCTAGTGGAACATATGCTGCTGGCCTTTCCCATCTATTATCTCACACACAGTCTTTAGCTAAGAGGAGGAACGTGTCCCTCCAATTTGAAGTCCGAACTTTGGGCAACTTGGCCAATTCAATAAGTTCTGGGGGGCAGTTCTGTAACTTTTGGGGCTGGAGGAACTGTCTGTCCAAATCAGTCATATGTAGCAGTTTCTATGGAGGAGACTATGGCTGAGAGAGTAGCTCGCTTGAGAGTCAGTACGTTGATATCAGCAGAAAGGTTTTGTTTTTCAATGTAAAACTCCTGCTCTTAGCTACTATGAGATATCGGTGGCACAATCAATCAAAGTGCATGCTTCAATCTCTTTTGTTTAAATCAGCATCAGTTGCGCACTACAGATGGTACTGTAGATCTTTGATATTTTGCCTTACAAGATAACAGTGTCTCCCATGTTTGCGCCGATATTTGTAAGCCTATTTGTAAGGGCTTTGCAGACGCCAGAGAATAATAGTCCTTAGTTTGTTGTATAGGCATCAGAATAAATTGTCCTGCTTCCTCAACATGCTGCCCTTACCCACTTACAGAAAAAGCTCTTCGCTTGAGTTGCAGGTCTTCCAGAAAAAAGTGAGGATATTGCTCTTTCTTTTTGCTGCTCTCCGAGCCTGCTCGTACTCCTTCAAAAATCAGGCAACGTGAAGAGGGAGAAAAACAACAGGGAAGGAGAGCAGTCAGTCAAAGAGGCTCCAAGGATTAGTCATAGCTCCTTACTGAGGCACCAGCTTCAGGCTATTCAGTCAAGTCTATAAATAACATTTAGATTGTAGGCACGAGCTGCAGTGTTTCATTAAATGGCAGACATTTAATGCATTGCAATTCAAGTCAGTTTCAGGCCTATAAATGTACATCCAGTTAATTCCAATAGGACCTGCATTATGTATTTACTTATAAAACAATTTTAATGCAAGTTTTGAAGCTTGAACAATCATATCTTCATATCTACAATTTGAATCATTTAATCACTATGTTGTGTTTTTCATTTTTCCTTGAAAGTTGACACTATGAAGGCCTCATAGTGGCATGCTCTCAGAAGATGAAGATAAGATGTTTTCTCAGTTGAAATTGCCAACAAAATCCCTTTTGCTAAGTTGCATTATTTGGGCATATCTCCTTCAGTTTTTAGTATTTAGTCTTTTCTGGAGGAATCTTGAGACGTAATTTTGGAGTGGTGTGTTGTATTCTTCATAACAGTTCTTAAACCTTTATTTCCTAGCATTTTTGGTGAATTGTTGAAGATTAAATTGGTATTAAATTGGAATTATGAGCCATGGTGGTGCAGTGTTTAGAATTCAGTACTGCAGGCTAATTCAACTCACCGCCAGGAGTTCAATCCTCACTGGCTCAGGTTGACTCAGCCTTCCATCCTTCCAAGGTCGGTAAAGTGAGGACCCAGATTGTTGGGGGCAATATGCCGACTCTGTAAACTTCTTAGGGAGGCTTTAAGCACTATGAAACAGTATATAACTTACATGCTATTGCTATTAATACAAGGTGTTTAGTATTATTTAAGCAAGTGGGGAGACAGATCTTCTCAACCGCAGTTCCTTCCTGAAGTTCAGAACATAATAATAACTTTGTACATATTTATTCTACGGGATAGGGAACCTGTAGTCGTCTTAAGTGCTTTTTTTTTTTTAACCATTTTCATGAGACCTACCCAGGGCAAATGGGAGAAGGGAACATATTGGGAGTTTTAATTCAACAACATTTATAGAACTGAAGGTTCCCTACCTTGTAAATGCTCTGTCTGTTGCCAAAATAATGATAACATAGCAGATTTAGAAAGGGAAACCATTTCTTTTTTTTTTTGCAAACCGAATGTGTATTTCTGATCATTTGCTGTAAAACTTCTTTTATTACATTTCTTTCAGTGGGGTAGGTGAGAGAAATTGAGAATCTGAGGTTCGTTTTGAAGGTTAAGACAAAAAAGGCAATAGATCTGTGCTAAGCACAGAAAATTGCTTCTCCCAGTTACAGGAAAAAAAAAAAAAACCTCCAAGTTTGGGAAAAATTAGAAATTAATAGAAAAGAAAGTGAGCAATGGTTGCTAATTATGATGTTTGCATATTATCTCCAAGAGAGAGATTAATACCTCTGAAGACTGGATGCTGAGAATTAACAGTGGGAGAGGCTAATACCCTCAAATCCTGCTTAGGTGCTTCTTGGAAATATAATTACCAGTACATATGTAGGTCTCTTTCCCCTCTATAATGCATGAAGGAACTTTCTTTGTCATCATGCTTTCCTACTTCCATTCTACCAGAGATGGAGAATATGGAATGAAGATTGTTATAGCAGTCTCACATGTTCTGATAGCTACTTGGGGGAGAGAAGATATACAAATACTTGCTTACCAGTAGGCATTCATTTATCAGATGAGGAATGGAGTGAGATAAAGTAAGATAGAGATGCCCTTCCACTTGTCCTGGCCTTTCATCTAAACTTCAGCGATGAGAAAAGCTTGCAGCAAATTGGATACCACAATCCGAAACTCAATTCACCTAAATGAAAGAAAGACATCTGACATTAAAAAGCTATTAAAAAGCCACGATCCCTTGCTGAAATCCAAGAAGGTACAGCAAGAGGGGGCAGAGTTTTCCATTTGAGGTCTGCTTTTTATTTTCTTTTTTAAAAAAAGCAAAAAACAAGACAGATTGTCTTCTTATAATAACAAATCAATCTATAAGCTATACTTAAATTTGGACTGGACAATTCGTAACAGCTCCTGTATATATAAGCCAAAGGAGCAGAAGGTTAATCAAGGCATCCAAACATTTTTCCAGTTTCCCTTTTCCCAAACACCAGCCTTCATAAGGGTGGGGGTATCTCTTGGAACAGTTACCCCTTGGCACCTGCCAACCCTGCTCTTCAGTGCATGCTCTTCTGCTAATTTCCCCATAATTTTTGCTTGCTGAAACCCTGTGTGTTTATGTGTTGCCTTGGGATGGTGAATACCTTCACCTCTTCTTGTCATTTGCCTCCTCTCCACTTTCCTCCTCCTCTTCCTCCTCTCACTCCTTTACCAGCAGCTTTGCTTTCCTGTCCAGCATGGTGCTTCTTTGGGATAAGAGAGGCTGGTAAGTTTCTGCTCCTTTTTTTTTTTTTTTCATTTCATCTTCTGCAGCACGATAGGAGGTTGGGCAAAAAGGATGGACAAACACTTAGGGGGAGTTAGTGCCCTCAATAAAAGTGCCATGTGTTTCTTTCCTCAACCTGGGGTTTCTGGACATCTTGAACTACAGTTACTATTAATTCCCAGTCAAACCAGACGGGGGGCAACAGGCATTATTGTCAAATTTCAGTTATTGCCCTTGTCCTCTGCAGGGTATATGGGTAGGGGATGTTACTCTTCAAATTAAGTTTAAATGCTGTTCAATCTGTTAACCCAGGAAAGCTTTTCTGGTTTTAAAGACTAGTTTTTAATAGGTCAGCTTTTCCATCTGGGTGTCTTCTAGCCATAGTGAAATCCTATGCATTGCCCAATATTGCCTTATTTCCCTGAAAATAAGACCTCTCCGGATAATAAGCCCAATCGGGCTTTTGAGCGCATGCGTTAAAATAAGCCCTCCCCGAAAATATTTAAGCACATGTGCTCCCCACCATTTCCTTGGGTTAGGGTTAGGGAGACAGAGGTGGAAATCAGGTAAGATGCCAAGAGCCCCGTCTTGCTCCACGTGCCCCAAAATAATAAGACCTCCCCCCAAAATAAGGCCAAGTGCTTATTTCAGAGTTCAAAAAAATATAAGACAGGATCTTATTTTTGGGGAAACACGGTAGGTTCACGAAGGCTTCAGTTAACCTATTTCATCTGGATTGTGATTTTGAGTAACTTTAGCAATGACCTGATCCAACTAGTAGAAAGACCTGGAATATCGCTGCAGATATTATTTGTGAAAATAACCACATTTAGTAAATTTTATTTACTAAAGAAGTGGGATACTAAAAGTAGATCAGTTATAATCTCCCAAACATCGGCAGTCTGGCTCGCCCAATATTTTCTGGCAGAAAGATCTATTTCTGCTAGCAGTTATCTGGTTTGGCGCACCAGCAGCACCTTGTGAAAAATGCAGCAGCAATGTATGGAAAGAACTGGCAAATCAAAAATATCCTTTGGACTACGAAATAGCTGACTGCTCTATACTTTTCAAATCTCTATTATTTTCAAAAGCAGTAGTATGTTTTCTTAAAAACAATAAAGTCCAATTTTGTATTTTGACAAATAAAAATTTGATGGGTTTTTTTTTAAATCTGTACCCAATTATCTTTTGTGACACATTTCCTAAATGTGCCTGGCATAGAACTGATCTTTGTTGTTGTTAGTTGCGAAGTCGTGTCCGACCCATCACGATTCCATGGACAACGTTCCTCCAGGCCTTCCTGTCCTCTGTCATCCTCTGAAGAGAACTGATCTTGGATTATTATTATTATTATTTTCATTTATATTAAGAAATAAATCACACTGGAGAAAATTCCAGCCTTTTGGGGTTGACTAGATCAGGAAACAGATTCCACAAGAAAATTAGAAGTCAGCTTTATGAACTACATTAACAGAATCTTGCAAATCTGATTGTGTTTTTCCTCTCCTCCCACTTAGTGAGTCAAGGAGAAGCCAGCCTGAATGTCTTCCAAATATTACCTTTTTTGCCATATTTTAAGGATTGCTTCTGTCTTTTTTTTCTGGGTGCGAGAGATGGCTGCTGAATATTCCCCTCAAGACCATCTCCATAAGTCTCTACAGGAAATTTAATCAATGAACTGAATTCTTTTTTTCTTTACACCTGCAGAGAGAGAAGGTGGGGGTGGAGGGACGACAAGGAAAGCTACTTCGACCCCTTGATTGTTTTCCATTTCTTCTCAGCTTCTAGTTCTCATTAATTAGATTATCTGCAGTCTCCACAGTATATTCTTCTATACTTCATAGAATAGAATTCTTTATGGGCCAAATATTATTGGACGCACAAGAAATTTGTCTCCTTATTCATATTTCTGAACCCTGTCATAGTCAGACATTTTCTGCCTCAAACCTATTAGATGTTGTGGGTACAGTTCTTCTTCAACAAGCGATAAAAGGCGAGTCAAAACCTGGAAACTACCAGGAGGTTTGAAAATTAGCATCTGCCATGGGACTGTATGAATGAAAGTTTTATCATCTTGCTTCATTCACGGAATTTTGAAGGAAGTTGGATGAATTTGCTTTCCAGATGTAACCTTCAAAACTCTTGGTTTGAAAGTCAGCTCTCAGCTTTGACCTGTATTTTACAAGTATGTCGTCATAAAAGAGATGAGAATTAGATAATAATCCATCAGATTAAACAGTTCTATAGCAAAGAATTACTCCAGGCAATTTTAGGATTTCTCAGGTAAAACATAAAGCCATTGATTTAAATAATAATTGTTAATATATTAACAAAAATAAACATTTTGGAGTGATGGTAGATGGGGTTCAAAGCAGGGGTGAAATCCAGCAGGTTCTGACAAGTTCTGGAGAACCGGTAGCAGAAATTTTGAGCAGTTCGGAGAACCAGCAAATACTACCTCTGGCTGGCCCCAGAGTGGGGTGGGAATGGAGATTTTGCAGTATCCTTCCCCTGTCATGCCCACCAAGCCACACGACACCCACCAAGCCACGCCCACAGAACCAGTAGTAAAAAGAATTGCATTTCACCACTGGTTTAAACTACAAGCTATGCATCATCCCCTAACTATAGTTTTTGCAGCTCTGAAGGTTCTCAGATCATTGAGGTAATTCAGCAGCAAATTAACAGCAAACATAGGAGGGAAATTGGTAAATTAAATCTGAAATAAGCTTTACATGTGCAAGGAAAATATTCCTCCTCTCCCAGCTCAAAATCATTAAGAGAATTCTGCTGCCTTTACTATTGTTGCAACAATAGTAAATAATAATGGCCTGAAGCTTCCAAAAAATTATGTAGTTTTGTGCTAAAGTATTAGGATATCAACCTGGCATACCAATGACTTCTTGTAATGTTGTTGAATTAACATATGAAAGCAAGTGAGCTTCTGCTGCCTGCATTTTCAACTGATGCTCCTAAGAAATATTTCAGCTGAACTAGAGTTAGAAAAGCCTTAACCCAGATATTAATGTTGTGATGACAACTGCTGTATAATTGCACAGCTCAAGAAAATGAATTCCAAATGTTACTCAATCTGTTTGTCCCAAAGTTACTTTACAAAATGGGCCATGTAGAATATAATTGTAAAAAAAAGAACACTATATATCACTTTAAAAATAAAGCATAGGCATATCAGTACAGTACAATATAGAATAGCTTGTTGACCACTTTTTTACAGAGCTAATCTCTGATTTCCTGCAGCTGGAACCCTAGGATGGCCCATCTTTTAATAATTTAATATTGTCTATTAAAATAAAACTTAGCAATTAGCCAAAGTCTATTGAAATATCCCAAAAGTGCTTTTTCCAAAAGACAACTAGACTTTCTTCGTTTTTTTTTCCTTTGAAAACCTTTTGCTTCTCACCCAAGAAGCTTCTTCAGTTCTAACTGTTGAAATAGCGCTTCTTGGGAAGCAAAGGAAAAGACCAAGGAGATCAGAGGTGGCTTGTCATCCATGTAGACCAGTCTTTTCCCTGGGTCTGTGGGCTTTTTTTCTGTATTTTAGAGCTTATACTGTCATGTCCACATATTTCCCACCTCAAAACATTAAGGAACTACAGATTTTTAGCAACTATAGACAGACAAAATTTGTGGGTAGGTTGGGGGGGGGCAGAAGAGAGATTTGAAAGCTTCATCTGGAGCTTCAGATGATCCATTTTAGGTTTTAATCTCATTACCTACAGAGGATCTGCATAACTATAGATGGTCATTAGTTCATAAATATTGCTTTAACTGTTCTCAACTTAAAAGGGAAAAAAGTTTGTGCAGCAGTAAGACTTTTTCAGCTTAAAAAGTACATCATTTACGTTTTATACAAACTCTTTGCCTGATACTTAAGAAGTGGATGTTATGTACAACCAGTAGCCTTTTCAGTAGCAGTCTATGATGAATGGTTTACAAGTATCCACATTATCACAACAATGATCCTCACCAAGTCTGTGCTTTCTTAATATTTATGAACCTAGTATTTGACTTGCAAAAATACACAATTGAAAATGAAAGTAGCATTCATAGAATGGTTACATTTTTGGACATTTGAAAATTGGCATCTGCCATGGGACTGTATGAACGAAAGTTTTATCATCTTGCTTCATTCACGGGAATTTTGAAAGAAGTTGGATGAATTTCCAGTACAAAAAGGAGCTTGTTGATAACTATGCAGTATGACAGTCCCCTTCATTGCAAGTTCCAGTTCTGGGCTTAAATCTGGCTTCTGACAAATAGAGCAGCTCATATTGAATCCCCACATCTGAACCAATAGGGCTTGTTCATGAATCTGAGCAATAAATCATGGGATGGCTAAAGAAGGTAGTACTTAATACAGACACAGTTCTGTATTTCTCCTTTCCCCAAATGTCTAGTTGTCAGTTTTCACTTTATAGGGCTAGAGTTCCTGATGGAAAATTAGATGTGCTGTAGATACTCGTGTTCTTGGGCATAGGCTATCCTGCTGCAAATGATGAAGTAACCTGAGGCATCCTTATGTTATTTGTGTATGCCCAAAAGGTCTAGAAACTTTCCTTAAGACTCCTTCCCTGCACTGAGTTATTCTCTTATTAAAAAAATAAAAGCATTAGTAATATATAACTGACCCAAGGTAACACAATTAAAATGTATTCTCTTTATTTTCTTCTTGTTTCTCTTTGCAGAACTGAAGACTATATGAAGTTATCCCTAGACTCTTCCTAAGACTTACCTTTTGGCATTTTTAAAGGCTTGAGGGAAAAAAAAAAGGGCAAAACCCCAAACACAACCGAAAAATATCCCTCAAAATATAAGACTTTTTGTTTGGCTGAAGCTGAGTTCCTCAGAATCAATCCTTATAATATCAAGATTGGAACAAGTTGGGGTGTCTGGTCTGGAGAATTATATGGCTAGAGAAAATAACAGGCTACATTAGGAGGGTTCTGTTCTTGGATGTAAGATAAGATCTCGGGGGGAATAAAGCAAACACACTTCGTAGTGTTCAGTACTCTATTATCTGCAGCCTCTCCCCAAACAGAACGAAAAGAAAAAATTAACTAGATAACCTGGACAAAAGTGATCGATTATTATACAATGGACCTGTTTCCTGTCTAGATGGTAGAACAAGCTAGAGTTGACCCCTTTTCACCACTCTGTCCTGGACCAAAAAAAACTAGATAAATTTGAAGACAGAGCTGTAATATATAAAAGCTTCTGAAGGTTCCTTCCACTCACAGATGGAAAGTTGGTTGCATGATACTCTGACCTCCTAGAAATGAGACAGTATTTCATCTTGGATAGAAGGATGTCCTAAGAAACTAGAACAATTTACCCTAAACACATGTATTTAGAAGTTTGTCCCACTGAATTTAATGGGATGTACTCCTGAATAATAATATAGGGTTGCAGTCTTAGTATAACAATTTGTGACTAATTTTAATTGCAAGGATTAAAAGTGCTTCATTAGCTTAAGGTTTTGTTTACTTGACACTTCAAGCCTGTTCCCAAGAATGGAATCTGAAAATGTGAGCTATGAAATGTAAAATGGCCCTTTGCTTACCAATTTTACATTTCCTAAATAAGTTTAAAGATATAACCATTTTTATGTTGTGTCACTATTCTGTTATCACATCAATTTTGATATTTTACTGATAATCACGTCCTGTTTGATAGATTGGATTTTTTTTAAAATGTTGCTCTCCTATATTTTGAGGGAAAGCTTCATAATCCATTCCCTGTTACTTTTTGAAACAAAACCTTAATTATTTGGAAATACTTGAAATTATTTAGTCAATCATTCTTTGGGACACATAGGTTTAAGAATTGTTTTCCTCTAGACTAATTCCCTGTCCCCCAGGCTTATTTAAGAAACAGCAGGAAGCTTTGACCATAATTAATTTTAAAAAAATAAGCTTCCATTCCTATACCTATTTTCTCTAATATAGTACAGTTTGCAACCAAATCCCATTCATATAAGGACACTCTGCTTTGAGATATTTGTTAGCAACCACTTTGCCTCCAATTCACATTGATAGACTCAGTGTTCAAAACACCATTAACTATGCAAATAATGCCTTATATACAATATAATCTTTCAGTATGCAGCAATACATATATAAGGAAAATGACTAGTGGCAATGAGAAAAGCTATCTCTTCAATAATGAAAAACATTGCTGTCTGAGTGGGCTTTTTGTTTTTGTTTTTGTTTTTCTAAATATGGAGGTAGATCTTGTACAAAAAACTATAATTTCTAGCAGTTTCAAAATGTATATTGCCATTTTTCAGTCCAATAAACATTTAAATAGTTTTCATGACTGGTCATTGTGTTTCTAAATATGCATAGTCAGAGGTGTGCTTCAGCCGGTTCAGTTTGGGTGAACCGGTTTTTAGGATTTTGCGCAGTTCGGAGAACCGGCAAATCACAACATTAGGTGGCCCTGCCGCTCTCCGCCCCTCCCAGTCACTCCTTCTCTCGCCTTGGCCGGTGCCTAGAGTCATGTCCCCAGTCCAGTTCCTTCACTCACTTGCCCAGCCCACGCAGTTCCTGCAGCCCAGCTGATCTCTGTGCCTTGCCCACTTGCCTGCCTCGGCCTACCATGCTGGCCACGCGGCCCAGCTGATCTCCGCACTTCACTCATGCTGCTCACCGTGGCTGCCTGCGCTCGGTGTGGACACACAGTAGGCTCGGCTGCCTTATGGGTCTGGCTCTCGCCATCCTTCCGCCTGCTTGCCCTCCGCCTCGGCTCGGGGGGATGTGCTAGTTCCTGCCTCTTGCCTTCTGTGGGGCCTCCACCCGCATGCCGGCCACCCGCTCAGCCGCTTCTGGGAGACCACCGTGCTGGGGCTGAGACCACTGCTCCACTGCAGTGCGCACATGCACATTTGCCTGCTTAGCACGGCGCCGCCAGGCGCTGCCCTCATTGGAATCTGAAGGGCAGAGGCGCATGGAAACTCTGGAGCTTGCCTTCAGGATGGATCAGTTAATTGAAGTCAGGCTTTGCTCCCCAGGAAGGGCCCTACGGCTGCACTTTTTAAAAAGGATTTTTAATGAAACCTCCAATGCTGCAGCCAATCCTGAGCCAAAAAAACCAGCTCTCCCCTCCCCACCTGGCACGTGTGCTTCATCTCGCTAAATCGGGCTTAGAGCCTGGGGGAGGATGAGAAATTTAAAGGGTGGGAGTGGGGAAGGACGGAAAGGCATCAGAGTAAACTCAAGTTTCTTAGCTTGGACCAGCAAAAGACGGCAGGCGGGCAGCGGCAAGGAATACAAAGGACAACTGGAGAGATGGAGCAGCGCTCGACCATCCAGGCTTCAAAGAAAAGTTCGCTTCAGGGCAAGGGGCGCAACCAACGCCACTTTCTAACTCTTCCTGCTAAGCTCCAGATCCTACAAAACAAGCCGCAGTGTTCAGTCTGTGCGCCCATCTCTTGCCTTTCTAAAGGGACACCTCCCCTCTTGCTCCAGCATGTTTCCACCATGGTGGAAACCACCGTGGTCCCACCCTTTCAAGAAATGTTTCTCAAAAGTCACCCCAAAGGGGTGATCAAAGTAGACTCCTTATCCTACATTCTCATTAGGGGTAGTCCTCGATTTATGGTCACAACTGGGCCAAAATTTCCATTGCTAAGAAGATTTAAGTGAGTTTTGCTCTGTTTTGTGATTTTCCTTGCCACCGTTAAGTGATGTTCAGTAGTAGTAAATAAATAGAGATTGTATCTTGTTGAGACCTTTGAGGTGAGCAGCTGGGAGGCGGGGCCAGGCGTGGTGAGTGACACCGAGTTGGCCACACCCACCCATTCACATGACCACCCAGCCACGCCTACCCAGCAGAGAATCGGTTGTTAAATTAGTTGAATTCCACCACTGTGCATAGTATACACACAGCTCTTGCTTCCAATAAATTCAGATTTGAATTGGAACTGGGAAAGGTATGATTGATTGCCCTTAGAAAACAAAACCATAGTTTAAATTACTGTAAGAAAGAATGTCATTCACAGTCCCCAGATTTGAATATTACTGAAAATCTATAATGAGATCCCAATCATGCATAGCGTGCAAAGAAACCTATAACTATTTCTGAGCTAGAAATATTCTACAAGGAAGAGTGAAAAAACATTTCAAAAGCAAGACTAGAAAGACCCTTAGGTGGTAACAAGAAACAGTTGGAAGTAGTTATTTCGTCCAAAGGAGATGTTACAAATACTGATTGGAAAAGTGTCCACATGTTTTAAACCTGCAATATTCACCATTGTTTTGTTTTGGATCTATTAACAGCTACGCATAAATAGTAAGTATGCATTAAAATTTGCAGAGAAATTTTAATTTTGTACTAGGTAAAGGTTCTGTTAGCTTCATTAGGGATTCATTGAAACACAGTTTGATCAAGAGTGCTAAACTTTTGCAAACAACCGTAGAGATGTAAAACAGGAGTATTAGTGTCCTAAGTATGTCTGCATACAGGTAAACTTTGCTAAGCATTTTTCACAGCTGGTAATGTTTCTGAGCCAAGCTTGTTGTAAACCCATGTCTTTTTAGAAGTGCAATAAAAGGAAGATTTTTTTCTCCCAGTGTCAGTTCCTAAATCTCTGGCCTGTATGCATCTGCAGGGCTATAATTTGTACCACTGTAATTGCTAAAGAAATCAATTGTCTACATATCTGGGCAACTGGATTGACCCTTCCAGGGATGTCAAACTAGTGGCCCATGGGCCGGATGCATTACTCGCAGGCCATGCCCACCCCAGCTCCATGAATGGGGAAAATGTCACGAAACGTCACGTGATGGCAACATGACAGAGCGAGTTTGACACCTGTGCTTTACACTGTTAAAAATAAACATGCCACATTATGACTTGGCATGATTTTGTTGGGGTTTTTTCCCCTTGGTGGACCGACAAGTGTGGTGCTATAGGCACATAGGCATTTAGATAAAAAAAAAAGATCCTAGGAGCATCTGAAACTTGACACCTCTGCTTTTTGAGAGCTTGAAAAGGAGCAGTGGCCATCTGAAAATTAGCCCAAACATCAGAGAGAGACTTTAGAAACTTTAAAAATGCCCTCTTAGTTATATGGAGTTATATGGAGTTCTGGCAGATGATGGCAGAAGCAGAATAAGAGACAGATCTACAAGCATTAATGAATGCAAAAAAGGGCTCGGGGCCACAGCCCATTCAAGAAGTAGGGCAGCATTAGCAGCAATCCTGAATACCATGCCACACTTATACTCAGCAGAAGCAAGCAAACTTTGGAAAAATGAAGGAAGCTGAGAATCCCCCTGTTAAACTAAGATAAGGGAAATATTTTCTAAGCCCTGGGTAAACATGTTTCATTTAATGTTAAAACGCTACAAGTAGTCCTCAACTTAGAAACCATTTATTCAGCACCTATTTGCAGTTGCAGAAGCACTGAAAAAGTGACTTACACCACCAGTCCCCAAAGTTATGGCTGTTGTAGCACTTCACAGTCACACGATCCAAATTAGGGGACTTGGCAGCCTGCTCACAATTACAACCTCAGGGGTGCTGCTTCACCTCCCCTCTACCCATCTAGCTCTTTTCATGGGTGGCAGCTATGCAGCTGGGGCAATTTATGGGATGCTTTGGCTTTGTACCATGCTGTTGGCGCTTTGTGTGGTGCAGCAGAATGAAGGGTGGGCTGGGCTCAGAATGCAGAGGGGCAAAGGCAACTGTGGCTGAGGCTTGGGCACTATCTGGGGCACAGTGGCTTTGCCCCATTCTGTTGATACTTCCTGGAATTCTGTGGCTTTGAGCCATGCTGTTGGCACTTTCCATAGCATAATGGTTTTGCGTAGCACTACTGGGATGGGGCAGCTGAGGCTTCTGGGGTGGCTGCAGCTTTGCACAGTGGCTCAGGGGCTTTTTCTTCTCCATGTACCAAGGAGGCCCTGAGCCACAGCATATTTGTTCCCTAGCCTCCCTGTGCTTGCACACATCACACATCCCATACCCTCTTTCCCAAGCCTCCCTGAAACTCATGCATGGCTTGCCTTTGCCAGGACTCCCTCATTCCCTTGCAGTACCCCCATGCTCCTTATGGACTCCCTCTGCTTCCCACTTAACAACCCATACATCTCGAGTTATGACAGCAGCCAGGATTGCTGGTATTGCTGCAGTAAAGTGATGCATTCGTGTGACATTATGCTTTACAACTCCATAGCTTAGTGATGGAAATTCTGATTCCAGTTGTGATGATAAGTTGAGGGTTACCTGTTAGGAGAAGATGGATTGAGTCTCTTAAGAGGGTGGGTAAGATAATCAGTCCAGGCTGAGATCCATCTAATGTCATATTCCAGGCCACTGAATGACAGTACTTTAGAAGCATCCTCATTTGACTCTAGTTGTGTCCACATTTCAACTGGATATCCTTATTAATAGTATCAGAAAATAGTGATAATGTGGCAGTACTATAATAGTGTATTTGTAAGGTACACTGGATTTCTTAGCTGTTGCTTGTTCTTAAAAATGATCTTTACAGCATGTGCTGTAATTTAAACGGGTGAACAATAAGTGATTGTTCAGCCATTTAAATTATTTAATTTGTAGGTGAATAGTCTTAGTGCCTTGTGTAATTTTTCACAACCCAAAATATACATTGCAATTCATGGTATCAGGGAATTCATGCAAGGGGTAGCTTCCTAAAAGTGAAAATGTGTCTAAAAAGTATGAGGGGTCATCCCGCATAAAAAAGCATCTTGACAGGGGAGATTCTAAACCTAAGATTCCCAGCATTTCAGATCAAATGTGTGCAGTCTTTTATTCTTAGGGTAAAAAAAAACTTTTATTCACACATCTCTATCATGCATTTTTTTAAATTTTAAATAGGAAATATCCCATATTGCAAGCTATCTTGTCAAACTCCAGTGTCTTTCTCAAAACAAAAGTATCTCCATTTTTCTCTTTTTTGTTGTTCTCTTCTTGGCAGGGTTCAGAGAGAGCAGCTGGCTGCCATCTTCACCCTTCTAAAGGAAAAATCAGACACTTTTGGAGATATGTCTGAATCTGATATCAAAGAACAACTTAAGCTTTATGACATGTAGACTGTAAGTTTTTTTCCCCTTTCAGTATACTAAAGGTGTAAAACCTGTAGTTTTCAACATTAGAATATATTGTATGTGAAAATGCAATAAGTAGTTTTTTTATTGTATTTTATCTTTTAAAAATGATTTTTGAGAAAGAATAAAAGTCATTTAGTTGTGTCAAATCAATATCTAAGGAGGTCTGCAAATCAATATTTAAGGAGCTAAAATATACCAAATGCTGTTGTAATTTCTTACAGTGATCTTATACTGTTATTGAATGCAAATGTCCTGTTGCTACAGGCAGATATGTTACAGACAGTGAATGATATTTGAGAAACTGTCTTTGAACTTATCTGTAATATGATGGAGACATTTAAAAAAGAATTTTCTCGATAAAATATAAGTAACCAGTGAGTCTGAAACTAATACATCAGAAACACTACTGTAAATCTAAAAACAAGTAAACAGTGTCTGTCACTTTAGACTAAACTTTGTTTTCAAAGAAATTTGTGTTCTAGATTAACTCTGTAAATATTTAAGCTAAAAAGTGTCAAGCTCTAGAAGTTATATAATTTTGTATACATTTTTGATGAAATGTTTTGATAGGGGCTAGGGATAATACATGTGTGGATTGTTAGATTTCTTATTACTGCATCCACAGTGTTTTAAAGCAACATTACAGAAGTGGCATTGCCTTAGTGTGGGATGTGGGTTTTTTTCAGCTTCTCAGCCACAAAAAGCCCTTGACTGATTCTATTACTGACTTGAGTTAAAAGTAGGCTGAGTTCACAAAAGTTCAGGTCTTTTAATAAAATCTGTTACTCTGAGAAGTTACTACCAGGCTCCTTCTCATTTTGGGCAATTAAAGTAAATCTACTTGAGAGCCAGTTTGGTATAGTGGTTAAAGGCATCATAAATTCTACTCAGTGGTGGGTTTCAAATTTTTTTACCACTGGTTCTGTGGGTGTGGCATGGTTTGGTGGGCATGGTTTGGTGGGCGTGGCAGGGGAAGGATACTGTAAAATCTCCATTCCCACCCCACTCCAGGGGAAGGTTACTGCAAAATTCCCACTTCCTCCTAATCAGCTGGGACTTGGGAGGCAGAAAATAGATGGGGGCGGGGCCAGTCAGAATTTTTACTACTGGTTCTCCGAACTACTCAAAATTTCCACTATCAGTTCTCCAGAACCACCTTAGACATAAAATCAGCCCCGGGATCTTGAGCTAGTCACTGTTTCTCAATCCTAGAAAAGAGCAAGACAAACCACTTCTGAAAAACTTGCCAGGAAAACTGCAGAAGTACTCCAGGAAGTCACCAGAAGCCAACTCTGACCGGAAGGCATTCCCCCGCCCCACAAATCTACTTAGCACCACGGTCAGCAAAATTGATTTGCTGCTGCCATCTGCTGAGGTAGAAGAGCAAATGCCTACAAATACCTTCTTAAAGAGATAATTTAGACACTGGTTTTTGTAATAGATGGATGGACCCAGAGAAACTGTGGGTGGGATTCATGTGGAATTTAGTTCTAATAAAGAGGCCAAAATGACTTTATTATTAGGATGCGAAGTTAGCTGAAATACTGTTCAGTGAAACACCCCAGAATAGAAAAGCAAACAGGTATTCAGGCTATGCAGTTTCAAGGTTGCAGTGGAGATGCAAGTTGTACCACAAAATGGCTGTTATAGATAATGGAATAACCCCACTAGAAGACTGTTCTGGAAATTATGATAGTCGAAAGTAAACTTTGGAGGGATTTTTTACTTCCTTAGAAATGTGTAAACGATCAAATGTAGATTAACCAGTGCTATGGCACCATTTGAAATGCTTTTGTATGAAATTTACTACATAAGTTTGCTTGTATGTGTATTCAGGGACTTTCACTTTGGAACCTTACCTAACAAGTCCTTGTGTGTCTAAGACTGTGCAGATTCTTAATAAAGTTTGGGAGATTTTGAGCTGTGTCCTGGCAGTAGAAAAACAGACTCAAACCTCATCATCCAGGTGGCAGAGAAGACAGAGGGGCCCTGCGGAGTATTTCTCCAACAATTTATACTAGGATGGAGATTGGGTATGCTGTTGAAAGAATGTTTGCTTATTTTAATTATTTCTGGAACTTCTCCTTTTCTTAAATGAAAGAATTCATGTTCCACATACTTCAGGACTGGTGGCAAAATGTATATGTACCCAACTAACCAGCTACTTGAAAGCTTGGTATTTGTGTTTGTGCTGCTTGGAGTAAGAAAAGAGAAGCTGAAAACTGGACAGACACAGAAATTGCCCTAAATCTACCTCTTTGGAGTAAATCAGCATTTTGGCTTTTTCTTCTTTTCAGTTCAGGCTTATTTTCCTGATAGCATCAAGGATGCACTATCAGAGTGCAATATTTCATGACACATCTAAGGACTATGTCTCTGTAGTTAAGTACTAGTACTTTACAGTATATGCCCGACAGCTAGAATAAATGTTTTAAAGGAGGTTCCTCCACTCCCAAGGAGGATAATTTAGGACTACTGCGGATAGCAGCCTTGCAAATGGGTCATGTGAGAAAAGGGCATTGATCCACAAGATTGGGAACTTATTTTGTTCCATGTATAAATCCCTAAAGCTCTAAACCACACCAGTCCTAAAGTTGGCATTGTAAGTGCCATCTACTGTAAACTGACTGAGTTTACATATCACATGAAGCCATAACCAACTGAATTCACCTACCTGATTAAGACATAAACTATGGCTTATTAAAAAAATCACAATGGTGGGACTCAAATAACATAAATCATATTATGAAATCAAAGAACTACAGAGTCAGAAGTGGCTGTGTGGCCTCAAATCCAATTGTCTGCTCTATGCAAGAATCTAAATTAAAATACCACAACAAATAGCTATCTGAGTTGTGCTTGGACAGATCTAATGGAGTACATTATTTTTTGTTAAACTCTTCAAGTTTTCCTAACATTTTTCTATTCCCCTAATCATGCTCATTACAAAACATGTTCAATGTTTTATGAATCATTTGGTGTTTGTCTGATTTTTTTCTTAAAGTGTGATGCTCAGAACTGGACATTAAACTGAGGTAGGTGTGAAAAACTTCTGGTTGACGTTGCAGCGGGAACGGACTGGAAAATAGCGGGCTCTGATGAGCCATGTGAAATCCAGCTGGACAAACCGCTGCCGGGAGGCTTTCAAGCTATAGCCATCTTGCAGGGATGGTGAAGAAAGGAGAGGTGTTTCATGGACCGCGAGGAATTGGCAATTTCCTCGCTGGAACAGAAACAGCTCTCCCAAAGTGGCAACGGGGGCGGCGGCCATCTTATGGTGGTCACCTTGAAGCTGGGACAACTGGACCTAAGAATTGAGCTGGAGCGGTATTTGGATGGAGTGCTAGAACTGGGTGAGATAATTGCCGATTTATTTAGAAAAAAATGAAATTGGAGTTTTAAAAGAAATTCCTGAGTTTGGACTAGCGGCTATCTGGCATTTGGGGGGGGAAACACATGCAGAAAAAAGAAAAAGCAGGGATTGTAATATAAAAAGCCTAAGAAGAAGTTTTAGATCTGGAAAATTGAGAAAAGTAAAATATTTCAAAAGGGAAAAAAAGTGATTTTCGGAAGAAAACAACAACTTATATGAGGATTTTATAAATTTCTGGATATTTTGATAATTAATTGGACTTAACAGACTATTTTGTAATGGAATAAAAACGAAGAGTACCATCTGCTGGAGGAAAGAAAAAGAACTATAATACTCTACTTAAATAGACAAAACAGAATAGCAGCTGGAAAATTCGACCTTGGCCATATAGAAGAAGATAATTTGGACTGTGAGAACAATTAAGGAGTGACTGTGTTTTACAACTGAGATTTTGTTTCATTTCCCTTCTCTCATTGAAGATAGCCTTTTAATTGGATTTGACTGTTGCTGAATTTGGACAATTAATAATTGAGAAGATCATTTTAAATTTGAAGAACTAAGGAATAATTGAAGAAGAAAAAGAAGAAAAGAAAAGAAAAGGAGATATAAGAAAATTAAATAGACTTTAAATTTTGCTAATTGCAAAGAGATACAATTGGGGAGGTTTTAATAATCTTTTAAATTGCTACAAAATGGAGTTGCAGATATATGAAGAGCTAATTTTGATGTTTAAAAGTATGCGTGAATCTTTATTAGGCAAAAAAGAAACAAAATTCACTGAAAGATATAGAAAAAGAAAGTGAAGAGGAGTTTGAAGAGGGAATTGTAAACGAGAAGAAGTTAACAATGTTGAAGAGAAAATATTAAAAAATAAAAATCAGATAGATAATATTATATAAATTTTTGGGAATGTAAAAAGAGTAGAGAGGAAAGGGGGAAAATTCCCCCCAAAAAAGAAACAGTTAAAAGGGAAAAAGGAAATATCTGGGAGAAACAAGGGAAAGTTTTGGTGAGGGATGCTCAAAAAGTACAACAAAAAAAAGATAAAAGGAAGCCAGAAGATGAAATGTAACATATATAAAAAGAAGAAAAAGAAAATTGAGAAGTTAGAGCGAGATAAAGGGTCGAGCAAAAAACTATTAGAAACTGGGAAAAGATTGAGAGATAATGGTTAAAGATGAATGATGATGAGGTAAGTATTATTAAATATATATAATAAGGTAGATTAATGAATGGGAATGGGAAAATAGGCAATATAACAAATAGTTATTTTGATAGTCTTGAATTTAAATTGTTACTGTATTGGTAAGAGAGAAGAATTATAGGATATACTTTGATGTTATTTAGGTGAAAGCATTGAATATGAAATGATAAATATGTAAGGAGAATAATATGAGAATAATATGGCAGAAGTTGAAATAATAAGATATGGTGAAAAATGACTATAAACAATTATATCAAAAAGATGAGTGAATAGAATTTGTTTATATTAAATCTCAGCAGATAGAAATGTGAAAATAAGTAATTTTATAATATTATTAATTTTGATAACAATGTAAATTAAGATGAATATTTAAAATATCAATTGTAAAGAGAATAACAACGTTGAAATCATGTAAGCGATTATTATTGTAAAAAAGAATGAATAGAACTTGTTTGTGATAAATCTCAGCAGATGGAAATGTGAAAATAAGTACTTTAACAACATTATTAATTTTGATAACAATGTAAATTAAGATGAATAATTCAAATGTTAATGATTGGGAAAAAGGAATTAGAGACATACTTCCAGAAATGAAGAAAGATGGTAAATAACTGGAATAAATGAAACTGAGGAGAAATATAAAACGTAAAATGATCTTATCTGTAAGTAAAATTAAAAATGATAAAAAATTATGGAAAGAGAACAACATGGCAGAAAATGAAATAATAAGATATGGTGCAAAATGACTAATTTGTGATAAAGGATTATATAAAAGAGATGAATATTGAAAAAAAATGGGAAGATTAAAATACATTATAACTATGATTATGATTATGTATAAGATGTGTAAGTTATGACCCGGTCAACACTCTGTTCATAAAATATGTATTATGAAAGAAAAAAATTAATAAAACTTGTATTAAAAAAATTGAGGTGGGTATGATAAAGTGAATAAAGTGAAACTATGCTTTTGCTGATGTCCAAAATTGCATTTTACCATCGTTGCAGCCCTTTCACAGTATTGATTGCTATTTTGTTTGCAATCAAATATTAATTCAGGATTTTTTTCACAATATTACCAAGCCATATATTTCCCATTCTGACCCTGTGCATTTGCTTTCTGCATGTGAAGTACACCATTTATTAAATATTTGTATTTGTTAAATTTCTTGTTTTTAGCCCATTTGCCAAATATATTAAAACAATCTTGAATTTTATTTTTGTCTCCTGGGTTATAAATCACCCCACTTAATTATCATCTATAAGACATACACTCCACTTGTCAATAAATGGACATGTTCATGAAGAAATGACACATTGCTACGGTAAGCCTAATCACTTGTCTAGCCACTGACTGCACTAGAAAAGAAAGAAGAGGAAAACTGCAGGAGAAAAGATGAGAAAGGAAAAAGAAACCCACTATCACCATTTGCTCTGATCAGTTTTTATATCTATGACAATTATTCTCAAAATGGCTAATATGTTTTAATGCCTCTGAAATATGTGCGCGTGCATGTATGTGCCTTTTTAGTATATTCTAAATCTTAGTCTCTTAGGTTGGTAGTGCAGTGAACGAATACAAAATTATGATTCATCAGTAAATGTGTTTATACATTATGGTAAGAAAATGGTGTCCATTGGGAGTGAGGGGAAAGATCAAAAAAGGCAAGATTTACAATGTTGTGATGCACGGTCTACTCCTTTTTTACATGTGTCAATTTCAGTGCGGCTTCGGTTTTAATTTTTTTCGGTTTTGCTATTTATAAAGATAAATTTATATGAAGTTGATTTTCAAAAAATGTCACTTTTTAGTTGTGTTCACACAACATACAAAATAATAACAAAAAAATGGGTTGTCCAACAGAATAGGCCCAATGTAGGCCGGTTAGTTTGCAGTTTATTGTTATATGCTACATCCAGTTTGGAATTTACTATCAATTTTTAGTTGCAGTAGTACAAATTTGCTAAATATTTGAAGTTTTTTTTTCCCAGCTTGACAAATCCCTTTTGAAGGCAACAGTCAAATCAAGTTTTGCACTTGTACAAAGGCAACTAGCCTTTGAGATGGCATAAGCATTAATGTCAACCATATGGTCCCAATTAATTTCAAGGAAGGCTGAAGCCACAACTACTTGAAGCTTTGCCACCAATACAACAGAGCCATAAAGTAGCCAGTTACTTTTTTTTTTTTTAAATTTGCTTTATATGCCGCCCTTCTCCAGAGACTCAGGGCGGCTTACAGTGTGTTAAGCAATAGCCTTCATACTTTTGTATATTTATACAAAGTCAGCTTATTGCCCCCACAAACTGGGTCCTCAATTTACCTACCTTAGAAAGGATGGAAGGCTGAGTCAACCCTGAGCCTGGTGAGATTCGAACTTACAGTAATTGCAGATAGCTGGTGTTAATCACAATGCTATCAGTCTGCTGAGCCACCAGGCTCATTTAACTCTGTTATGTAATGAGAACAATTTCCCCACCCCTTTCAATCAAAATCAAATCGAGATTAGTTAATCCAGGATAAGATGGCCCATGCAAACACAGTCTTTGTAGTTTAGTGCGTTTGTGAACCAGGCAGATATGCTGGGACAGTATCACCAAAAAAAAAAAAAAAAAAAAAATCCGCCTAGCGCATAAACTCTAGTAAGACCCCGCGCAAGGGATGCAATACAGAGAAGACAGCGCTCGCTCTTTCAAACAACCTTTCCTTTTGCGCATGCGCCTTCTTGCAGCGCTCAGAAGAAGAGCACCCACTCATGATCTGCAGACCAGAAACGGAGCGCAGCGCCTATTTGCCGAGTTCACAGAAAGGAATGTAGATCTAAGAAAAATGAAGAATAACTCACCCACTACAACTTCCTGCGTTAAAGATGGTCGTTTACTCTGTTTTCCTCTTCTCTAGCGGAAGTGGGATCCGCTCTTAAAACACGGGAAAAACACAAACCATAAACTAGCTAAGAAAGATGGAAGAGTTGACGGCATTTCTAACTGAGGGTTTTATTTGGCATGTTTGGATTTCTTTAAAACGTTAGAAATATTTAAACATATTTAAACCAGGGAAGTAATAATGTTCTTTGCGGGAGATGGGTTTTGCTGCTGTTGCGCTTGTGGCTTTTGGCAACGTTCAACTATCGTTGGTTTTTTTTTTCTCTTGCTTATATATCTTCCGAGACTAAAAATTCAAAGCACAATAGCTAATCTTGCTGTGGTAAATAAATTTTTTCACATAATGTAAGCGAGACCATTTGCTTTGTAATAAGAACAAAATAACATTCTGAGTTATTTAGCCCGAGGTTTTTCTATTACAGCGCCCGATTCTTCCCGGAAGACAAAAAAAAAAAAAGATTTCAAGGAACTTGGAAGCGAGCGCGCCGTCCTCTTCTAAATTTTCACACTTCTACAGAACCTAGCGGAAGCTAATACGCACGCGCATTTCTGAACCGCTGGGCGTTTTTTTTTTTAAAAGCTACGGCGGCCGGGAGGAGCCGTTTTACATTCAATCTCGCGGTTTCTCTTTTGATGCTCTTGTTCTCGATTAAACCTGGATCGGGATTAGAAGAGGGAATGTGACCGGGAAGTGGTTTCCAAGGTAACGGACCGCTGTGCTTGGCTGCGCCTCCCCACGCACCCACCCGCGGGCGTGGACGGGGCAAGGAGAGGACTCGGTTGCCGCTTCAGCCCAGAAGATCCTGTACTCTTTCCCCTGCGCCTATCGTGGCTCCGCAACAAAAGTCCTCGGCTCCTTCTAGTTGGTGGAGCATTTTCCACTCACCCGGCCTCTGAAGGACGGTCCTTGGACGGTGGAGGCAGCTTTGGTCCCCGGTTTCTGCCCTGAAAGTGAAACCGTTGAAAAACAACCTGTTTTTTTTCCCCCTGCCATGGTACCCATTAAGCCCAACGACGGTAGCCCGGGTCTCTATCAGGCCATGGGAAATAAAGAAGCCTTGCCCTCCGACCCCAAGGGCAACCCGCCCAACTCCTCTCTCATAAAAGCCCTGGACGCAGTCATAACAGCCGGTAGACGTGGCTTGCTGGGTCCGGCGGCCGTGGTATCCCCTGTTCCCGCCTTGAACTTGGATGGTGGCAAAGGAGTAGTTTCTAGGGAAAACTTGAAACAGATCCCACTAGTGGCCGGACACGACCAAAGGAAGAAGGTGTTCGGTGAGAAACGTACGGCTGTAATCACTGTGGTGCCCTCCGCAGAAGGTGAGTCAAGTAAGGCAAACAACCGCTGGAATGGTCGACGCCGCCTCCCTTCCAAGGAAATCTGGAAATGTTTGCGTTCCTCTTGAGCAGAAATTCTACCTATATACCCTGCCCTCATAATGTACAAAACCTTTGTTGGCTTTAGACTTCTGCCAGGAAAGTTAGCGCAAATTAATGGGATAGAGACAGACAAACACTCGACCCATAGGTACATAATGTGACGTGACCAATACTAGTCCTTTCATAATCTTTTGTCGCCTCCCTATAGCTATTGAAAAGGCAAGGTAATGTGTAACTAAATTATGATAACCAGCGGAACAGTTTGCCTCCAGAAATCATGGGCGCTCCCAACACTGGATGTTTTTAAGAAGAGTCTAGACCAGGGCTATGCAACCTTAAACACTCAAAGAGCCATTTGGACCCGTTTCCCACAGAAAAGAAAACACTGGGAGCCACAAAACCCTTCCCGTGCCTGACTATTTCTTGAGCGGCCACAAAATTAGCATATTTGGTCGAATTAAACATTCTGTTTTCTTCTGAAACTTTTCTTTTCTTGGATTTATCCATGGTTGGCCTACCGGGAGTTGAAAAGCTCAATAAATCATATGCCGGCAGGTGTCGCACATTGACGGTTGTGACGCATATTTTGAGTGACAGGGAGCCGCAGCAGAGGGGTGAAAGAGCCACATGCGGCTCCAGAGCCACAGGTTGCTGACCCCTGGTTTAGATTGTCACTTATCTAAAATGGTATAGATTCTCCTGCTTGAGCAGGGGGCTGGACTAGAAGACCTCCAAGGACCCTTCCAGCTCATTCTATTCTGTTCTGTTCCTTTCTATTCCATTCCTCCCCATCCCCTATTCTATTCTGTTCTGTTCTTCTGAAACTGCATGTTTCACTGTAAATTGTGTATCCCCATCATATTTGCAGCTTTAATCTAAATTACCAAGACTAGGAAATACAGAGAGTTAGAATCATTAATTTAGAAAGGGCTATTTTGGCCCTCAAATCCATTTCCCACAAATGGCTGTTTTTACTTTGGCTTTCATATAGCCAAGGAATGGGAGCATACATACCACTTCTCCAAATACTATGATTTCCCCCCTCGAATATCTAATTTTTCTAATCAGAACCTGCCTTATCACTTAAATCTATTATTCCTGTACCCCGACACAAGAAAGGTCTTGACCATCTTTTCTGGTGTTTTAGTTGACTACCATACTGACCTCGGTCATCTTTTTTCAGCTTCTTCAATCTCTCTTCATAAGCTTAGATTCTAGTCCCTTGATAATCTTTGTCACTCTTCTCTGAACCTTTCCTGATATCTCCAAATCCTTCTTCAAGTGTGGTGCTGAGAATGAGACACAAAGCAGTAGTGTTTGGTGAAATATGGTTACTCTCACAAGATTTGTTCTTGATAAATTCTTGCTGACTTATGTGTAATTCTTATAGTTTTCAAACTCCTTGTAAATCAGATATTTTGTGATCTGCTATAGAATCTTCCCAGATACTAATGCCAAAATGGATCTTTGCTATTTTGTCTTTTCCCCATTTTTCGATCTTTAATCCTTTAAAGATAAGCCCCTTCATCTTAACTTTTCACATTTTCCCCATTCAGAATTGGAAAGACAGTGTGATTCTTACATGTTTATGGAGATTCTATGATTCTTGCAATAGTTTACTCCTGGGTGACAACAGCTGGGTATTTCTGATTCTTGAGCCCCAGAGAGATGCCACAAATACAGCTGTTACGTTCTCTCTAGTTCAGATTAAATTGTTTTTGCTATATTAACACACACGTGGTGGTCTCAAAATGACTGACTACCCATCTTAAATACATAACTGTAGGTGGCAAGCAGTCAATGCAAAAATAATAAGATAAGATAGCCTTTATTGTCATTTACCCGTATACATAATGGCACATATTAACATGAAGTTCTAATGTACTGCTCTCAAAAGAAGGAAATGCCACCCACTGAATAATGTCACCATCCCAAGGATAATAATATAATAGCAGTAGTACCATTAAAATGCCAGTTTACAAAAATGACACCAAAACCTATATTAATTACAGTCCATTTTGAATACATAGGGGAAATCTTGACAGTTAACAAGTTGGATACTATATGGTACAAAGCTGTTATAAAAACTCTATGATCGGAATTAAAAATAAACAAATAGAAAAGCCATTAAGACATTATATAACAATTGTACAAGAATACACATATTTTGGGGTCCTGTTCCTAATAACTGTGGAAAAGGCCAGTCCTCTGAAAGGCTAAGAGATCTTGGGTTCTCTAAATTGCAAAAGATAAGGCTGTTCCATAGGAAATGGCACTACGACAGATCACAAATCTGTGAATAGCACTGTTCCTCCTATGATTTTTCTTACTTATATATTACTGCTGCTAATGGGTGGAAAATTAGTGGTGGTGACTGTTTTTCTCAATCTATGGTCCGCGGATCCCTGGGGGTCCACGAAGTCTTGAAGTGTTATGATTTAAGTTAAAACTTTAAGTCTTGGTGATCCTTGCCCATGGTTTGAGGCCACAAAAGGTATTTAAAAGATGTCAATGGTGAAGAAGAGGTTGAGAACCACTGGTATAAGCCAAGCTCTTGCTTGTCTTATATAGTGGTGGCCCAGAAATATGAAGAGAAAATTCCTTTCATCTGCTTCTGTTAATCAGTACATATATTTTAAGAATTATGTTTTTGTGCCACTTGAGTGTTGATATAATTTGTCCATCATAGTAATATTTTTATAATATTTTACTTTCAAGAGGGATTATTGCTGTTCCAATGTCAGAAGAGTAAACTTATGTAGAACTTGAATCAAAGGAGTTAATGTGACATTTTGCTTTTAGGTGTTGGAAATGTGCAACCTGCACCAAAGGAAGTATGGATATGTGGGAATTCTGTGATCTTGGCATCGAAAAAAAGAGCGCAAAGTCACCCACATGGATTGCAGTTGGGCATCTCAACTTCACGGGCAAATGTGTATTGGCATGGGATACAGAGCATGATGTGGACACAGCTTATACCTCTTTTGCATGAAATTTATCATGTCCGATCTCCTCCCTCAGTAATAATAATTCATCTTGGTGAAGATGATCTGTTTCCCGAAAATAATACTTCAGTCATTATCTCAATGAAAAATGATTTAGGCATTCTTAAAAGAGCATTTCCAGATACTGTTATAGTTTGGTCTTCACTGTTACCAAGACGTATTTGGAAAAACGATCCAAAGCCTAGATATACGGAAACTGCTCAAATTCTGGTTAACAAGATAATGGTAAACTATTGTAATAAAATTGGTGTGCACTTTCTGTCACATAATTCAATTACCTCTGATAAATCAGATCTCTTCTTGCCAGATGTCAGTGATCTGACTGATGAGGGAGTGGATATCTTCATAGCAGATCTGAAGAAAGTCTTAAGATTGTATCAGATTTTGCAGTAGCTGGGAAAGAGTTTTTGAAAAGCAGTCTGTATAATGTTTGGGAAGATTGGTTTTATTATTACATGAAAAAAAGAAGACATGAGCTGACTATATACAATATAGTTTAAAATTTTCTCTCACAGATATGTCACGGATTAACAGATGTGTTCCTAAGTTTTGATCTCCTGTAACATGAAAAAAAATATGTCTGTCTTACATTATGAAGACTTCAAATGGGTGCATTCATCTTAATGAAACTGGGTGTTTTACTCCCTTGGAGGGTTATGTAAAACAACATAAGATGCTGTAATGAAAAGCATCACAAACCTGTGAAGTAGACATACCTGGGTGTGCCTTGTTTTTTATCCTAGCCTTTAAAGAAGCAGTTTCTATGATATTTAACTAATATATCAGGCTATATATAGAAACATATTGAATAAGTGTTTTTTCTTATAATAATATCTGAAAGAAATGGCTGAGGTTGGACATCATGAAAGAGTATTTTGTAAGTAGCCATTTTTCAAAATACTGTATATTTAACATGCCTGTTGAACCACAGTTGACAAATAGCTTAATCCAAGAGCCTAGTGCCATTGAAGGCTACTACCTTCAATGTAAGACATTTAGGAATTTGTAAAGTTCTGTCCAAAACCAGCAGCATTATCTCAAAGAGGTGACTTGTATCCATGATGCCAAACAAAAGTTGTTTTCTAGTATGGCACATATAGAAAATTATTATGGTATTTGGCAGCATATTGCCCTGTATATGTTTTGCTTTTTTCTTCATTTTATTTTTGGGTGCTTATAAGACTAAATACTTTAACGGTATGGATTCTATTTTCTTAATATTAATGCTTAATATTAGGAATTTTCTGTATAAACAGTATTCCTCGGTAATAGTGGTTAAAAAAAAAACACTAGCTATAACACCCATAACAAAAGAAATTCAAATGGATTAGTTGGCCTGTCAGAGAAAATGCAAATAGCAACTAAACCTACAAATTTAGCAATAGTGATTTCATATATTTGTTCCTTAAGCTGGGGGGAAAATAAAAGGAAAATAGAAAAATATTGCTAGTAAAAATATAAAGTAAGAGTAAAGAACAATGGATACGTTAAAAGGCATATCTATTGCATAGTTTCTGTCCCCCCCACCCCATCTTGTCAATTTCATCTGATAGCATTCAAAGCTGGCTGTTATTTCCATAGTTAGTTGAAAATGACAGGAAAACCATCCTTTTGTTTGTAGTTTTTATAAATAATCATCAGGTTATTTATGTCCCTTTTTTACTGTTTCATTATAAATCTACAAATTACTATTTCATTGGGAGATTTTGAATTATACTGTACATTACATAATAACCCTAGAATGTGTGCATCAATTTATTAGCATTTATTTAGGCTGAGGATGATCCCATGCAGATGTCAAACACTGGGGGAAAATATTCCAGAAAGATTATGAAACTTTAATATGCCACCTATCGGTATATATGAGGGACAACTGGAGTTAACAATCGGAAGCCATCACTGTTCTAAATAATTCTTTGGCAGTGGTGGCATTACCCAAAGGAGATGAAGCAGATTTACATTATAGTAAATTCACCTGCCTGTGAATTGGCTGTGACAAATGTTCCCTAACGCTTGTACAGTTTTAATACTGTACTAATATTACTATAGGAATTTAATTACAATAATCTGTGAGGAATATAGATGTGTGTGAGGAAGACTGGAATGTAAACAGAAGTTCCAGCAACATCCAAATACTATTACATCTTCGACGTTTCTGTAAAATGCGTACACCCATTTTGACTTTCCAACTTAGTTTGTAATTAAGATATGCAAAACTTCTGTCATGGAACATTTAGATTTCAAAATGATTGATTCTGATTTTGGAACAAGTTATTTTGAGCATTCCAGAAGTACAATAGTTTATTTCTGAACAAGTTGTAATAGCCCTTGATCATTTTTGATTCTGAATACAACATGGATAACTCCCATCAGGCTACTACTAGAGCACATTCAAGGTTCAGAAAGCTTGTTTCAAATTCAAACTGCTTCCAGAAAACTGAATTCCACCTACTTACCTTGGGGACAGATCAGTGCAGTTAGTTATTGATCGCTAATACCTCCAAGCTGCATCTTAATTTGTTAGTAGGTCTATCTCTTTGAATTAGCTAGGTGTCCATTAGTAACATCATTATACAAATCATAATATAATTTATTACAACTTTCAAGGGAGTTATTGCTAATAAGTGGCATGGCACCATGCTATATGATTCAGAATAAAACATAAGCAGTTTAGAGGACTGGAAAAAGGCAGAGAATTTTGGTGTATCTAGCTGAAATGAATCTTGAATAAAGTTTAAATTGCAATATCCCGACTCGGTAGTAGGGCATGAATATTATTTTCATAGCGTTGGGTGTTTTGTAGAATAACACACAATTATTTTTACACAGTAGTGTAACTTGATAGATTTTTGAAAAACTCTATATAATGTTTAGGCTTATGTTAGTGCTTCCCTCTTAATGTCTTTAATGAAATTATTTGAACATTTCTCTGCCACCTGCATTTTTCTGGGAATAAAGAATGTATTTTTATTGCACAAAAGAATCATTGTGTTTCACTGCCTACAAAGATGTACTTTTTCAATCAGACCTTTGTTTGACAATTTCGTCCTAGTTGACTCTACCAGCTGGTAAGATTTACTTTTTTTGCATCCTAGTTTAATCAACTAGAATCCTGGATCCTATGCATGTGTAACAATGGATTTATTTACAAGAAATATATGGACAAACAAAGCGCAGCACTTAGCTAACTATATCTTACTAGAAGGAGAGCCTAAGAGCATGTTATTAAAGATAGAACAATTTACTAGCCTCTAACTCGGGTCTCAAACTTGCCACATGCAGCCCTCCAAATAATGGCTCCCCACGATATTTTCAGGTTCAAAATAGTAAGCCATTAAATTAAGCATACGTTTTGTATGCTAAAGTTTTTCCCCCCTACTATTATGTATTTTCCATTTTGTCGATGCCATAAGTTGATGAATTTCATCATCATAGCCAGTTGCTTTGGTCTAAACACGCCATCCTGTTATCCAAAACATATAAAGCAGAGTTTAATTTGATAGGCACAGACTTTAACAAATGTATTGGGATAGGATAGTTGAGTAGTTGCTCAATGGAATTGAGAGAGCATGGGACAAGGCCATTTTATGTAGTTTGTTAAACACATTGGCTCTAGCATGACAACAGAGCTATTCAAAGCTTAACCTGTGCTTAGGTCTGTGCAGGTAGTGAGATGGTTTGTGAGGTGGTGATGGTAGTTCTCTCTCCCACCATTTATTTTGAGTTCAGTATTTGGTGTTTGATTTTATGATGCATAAAAAAGGAAGAAGAAAAAACCATACCCTTGTACTAGCTCCAGGGAGAAGTGGACTTTGTATGTGCATTATGTTGAAAAAACAACAGTGGCTTCTTGTGAGCAAGCACTAACAAGGTCTCAGGGATTACTCAGAGCTACTTTCACTGGGCAAGTGTCTTGAACTGGGTACTGTTGGCCTCTTCACAGCCGTCTCACCATTTCATCAGGAATGCAGATTTCTTCAGAATAAGCAAGCAGATATGCTATCCTCAGCCCTTGTGGCTATCCCTCAACTATCATTATTAGCTTCTATAGTGACTTCATAAAAAAGCATTTCTCTTCTCCCCCCCCCCCAAGTTGCCGTCTTATAATTTTCACTTAGTAATAATGCTGGGTATATTGGGGTTGTGGGGGAGAATCTAATATCCTCATATATATATATATATATATATATATATATATATATTTAATTTGATTTATATGCCGCCCTTCTCCGGAGACTCAGGGCGGCTTACAATGCGTTAAGCAATATATGAATATATTAGGTTCACCAGTACACACTGCATTTTGCCTAAGCAGCCTTGAGCAGTAAAAACTTATGTGCAGAATAAGCCTTCTAAGGCTTATAACTCCTAAGTAGTTTTGATGATAGTCGATCAGAAATTTTAAATTGGTATGACTTTCTTAGTCCACTGGATGGTGCTAATTCTAAATAAATGCCTTTTTGCATTATTTGTTCCTGATACATCTTCATATCAAACAAAATTTGATTTATTACAGTTATATGCATTGCTTTTATAATCTATTTAATTGCCTCCTGATGTTATGGTAACAAGGTCTATATAAGATGAATCTTGAAATGTTTTTGGAAACCATGGTTTGTGCAAATTTGTCTGAAATGCTTTTTATAGACTTTGAAACATCTTCATTAGCTTGTTTTGGAGCCAATTTTTGCTTATTACTACAAAGATAGATATTTTATTTATCTAAAATATCATCTCTCTTTTAGATACACTGCTAGAATCTCGTTTTCTTTTTAAAAAATTATACTTTGCAATGAGTTTGATGTGGTCCAAAAGATGCTTTTTCAAGAGGACTTTCTTGTTTTTCCTTGAAGACGTTTTGCTTCTCATCCAAAAAGTTCTTTAGTTCAGGATGAGAAGCAAAACACCTTCAATGAAAACAAAGAAAGTTCAATTGTCTCTTGAAAAAGCATCTTTGTGACAACCATGACGTGGATGACTGAGAATCTCCATGGATACGTTTGATGTGGGTTTACAGGGAAACATGTTGACTTTTAGATGCTAGTAAAGCCACTTTTTCCAGGTAGCTTTTCAAAACTACTCCTTGATTTAGAGGATTCCTCAGTTTTAAAGAATTGTATGTATTTTAAGTGTTTTTTAAAATATATTTTTAATACTGTTCTTAAAAGGATTTGGGAGTTTTCTGACAAACAAAAGCATACGCCTTCTCTCTTCATTGAGTGAAGAAGTCACATAACAGCATTTATTTTTTAAAAAAATAAAGGGTTGCTTCAGCTGTCTTAAAATACAATATTAAAAACCAAAAATGGTAATTAAAATGAATAATAAAAATACAGCATGAAGGGTTTTTCTAACTAAGATAGTGTAAAACAATTAGCAACTCAGATTAACAACCCTATTAAAATAGCATAAATACTGTGCAATATATACATTTGATATTTTATGCTTTAGATCAGGGTCCTCAAAGTCTTCAGCTTATTGATCCCTTCTTGAAGTTACAGATCTATTTGATCCCCCGAAACATTTATTATATTAAAATAATATATTTTATTATTTCATTTATATTTATATGAAGGAAAATATTTAGAATAGAATAGAATTTTATTGGCCAAGTGTGATTGGATATACAAGGAATTTGTCTTGGTGCATATGCTCTCAGTGCTCTATAGCAGTAATGGCGAACTTTTTTGGCACCCGGTACCAAAAAGGGAGTGCGCGCGCTTGTCTGGGCCACAAGCCAGAAGAGGAACTGCCCAGGGGGCATTTGCGCACTGGAAAATGAACTTCCGGTTTCCGGCACATGCATGTTCACTGGCCAGCTAGTCTTCCGGTTACTGCCATGCATGTGACGATCAGCTAGCCAGTGCACATGCTCACGCTGGAAAACGGAAGACTAGCTCTTCCAGTTTCCGGCACTGCCGCACAGACGAAGGCCAGCTGACCGTCACATGCGCATATGGGCCAGAAACCCGGAAGAGGAATGGGTGATGCTGCACGTGCCAGGCAACATGGCTCCGCGTACCACTTCGGGCACCTGTGTCATAGGTTCGCCATCATAGCTCTATAGCGTCATTTTGAGGGTAGGAATTGAAACAGTTTATGTCCAGGATGTGAGGGGTCTAAATATTTTCACAACCCTCTTTTTGACTCGTGCAGTATACAGGTCCTCAATGGAAGGCAGCTTGGTAGCAATTGCTTTTTCTGCAGTTCTAATTATCCTCTGAAATTGGTGTCTGTCTTGTTGGGTTGCAGAGCCAAACCAGACAGTTATAGAGATGCAGATGACAGACTCAATAATTCCTCTGTAGAACTGTATCAGCAGCTCCTTGGGCAGTTTGAGCTTCCTGAGTTGGTGCAGAAAGAACATTCTTTGTTGTGCTTTTTTTATGACGTTTTTGATGTTAGGTGTCCATTTTAGAGCTTGCGATATGGTAGAACCTAGAAATTTGAAGGTCTCTACTGTTGATACTGTGTAGTCTAGTATTGTAAGAGGTGGAAGTATGGAAGGGTTTCTCCTAAAGTCTATCACCATTTCTACGGTTTTGAGTGTGTTCAGTTCCAAATTGTTCCGGTCATACCACGAAGCTAGTTATTCAACCTCCTGTCTGTCTGTGGATTCATCATTGTCTCGAATGAGACCGACCACTGTTGTGTCATCTGTGAACTTCAGTAGTTTAACAGATGGATCATTAAATGCAGTCATTGGTATAGAGAGAGAGGAGAAGTGGAGAGAACACACAGCCTTGGGGGAGCCCTGTGCTAATTGTATAAGTATCTGATGTGATTCTGCTTAGCTTCACCTGCTGCTTCCTGTTTATTAGGAAGCTTATCATCCACTTACAAGTGTATTCAGGTACCTCTAGCTGGTTTATCTTAGTTAGAAGAGTATCTAGAATGATGGTATTGAATGCTGAACTAAAGTCTACAAAGTGGACCCTTGCGTAGGTCTTTGGAGATTCAAGATGTTGTAGGATGTAGTGCAGAGCCATATTAACAGCATCATCTGTTGATCTATTTGCTCGGTATGCAAATTGCAAAGGGTCTAACAGCGGATCCGTGATGGTTTTCAAGTGGGACAGGACTAGCCTTTCAAAGATTTTCATGACTACAGATGTCAGAGCAGAGGTCTTCAAACTTGGCAGCTTTAAGACTTGTGGACTTCAACTCCCAGAATTCTCCAGCCAGCAAGTTTGGGGACCTCTGTGTTAGAGCAACTGGTCTGAGTCATTCAGTCATTTTAATTGTATTATGAGCAATAACAATAATAAAAGAGACAACTCAAGGCTGTTCTTGCTGGTGGGTGACCATCTAACTCTGGGTAACAGTCAAGTGCAAAAGATCAGGTCCACACCTGAAGGTCCAATTAAACTGATATATTGCTAAAAAGTTTATGCAGAGGAATCTACTCAATTAATAGTTAGCACTATTTTAGTTTAAATAAGGGTCAACGGAATTCCAGAGGAGTTGGACTTTGTTTGTGGTTACGTAGAGACTCTAGTCTGATTCCTCTTTTGACTCTGTCCCAGGTTTTGCCACCTCTGCTACAGCAACTGTTATGCCACAAGCCACCTCATCTTCAGGATTAGGGCCTATCATGGAGCTTCACAGAGACCCCAGAAGATTAATTGACCCCAATTGATCTTGCATTATTTATCCATCAACTATTGACCCCAGACATATATTCACTCTTTTTTTACCCCAGATATTTATCAAACTCTTGAATAATCCCATTGACATTTAAGGATCAATAT